CGTGGATCTGTCAACTGGCAAGACGGCTACAAAGCCATGGTCAAAGACGCCGAAGTCGTGCCCGCAAATGATCCAGTCGATTCCATGGCACCAGATTCATCAACACACGAGGGTCGCGGTGCATTGCCCGACTGGCTGAGCCTTGGATACATCACGCCAAAGTATAGCCGTGCCGTCAGCCGGGCTGTCGAGTACGCGGCTAATGACTTTAGTCTCTACCAGGTTGCGTCTGGACTGAAGAAGGAGCAGGACGCGAAGAAGTATCTCAATCGGTCTCGCAACTGGCGTCACCATTGGAATCCTGAGCAGACCTCGCTCGGGTTCTCGGGTTTCGTCGTCCCGCGGAATACTACTGGTTTCATTGAGACTGATCCGCTGAAGGATAGTGGGTATTGGGGAGATCCGTACTATGAAGCGAGCTCTTGGGCGTATTCCTGGGCGGATGTGCATGATATGCAGCACGTGATTGAATTGATGGGAGGTGCTGAGACGGTGGTCAATCGGCTGGATACCATGTTCACCGAGGGTGCTAGTGGATCAAGTGGGATTATCTTCGATCCCACCAATGAACCGTGAGTTATACTTCCTTCTTTCAGCCATTTCAAAGAGTGAAACTAACAAGCATTAACAGAATGTTCAACATCCCTTACCTATACAACTATGTTGGTCGCCAGGACCTGTCCGTCTCCCAATCGCGGAAGGTTGCCAAAAGTGACTATTCCACCGGCGTGTCCGGACTCCCGGGCAACAGCGACGCCGGAGCAATGCAAACCTGGCTGCTATGGAACATGATCGGTCTCTACCCGATCACCGGACAGACTACATTCCTCATCCATTCGCCATGGTTTGCATCAATGACTATCGATCTTGGTGGAACTAAGAAATTGCAAGTCACCTCCACGGGTGGTGATGGCAATGGTGATAAGGACTTTTACGTGCAAAGCTTGAAAGTCAACGGCAAGGCGTGGAAGAAGAACTGGCTGACTTGGGATGACATTTTCGCCAATGGAGGTACACTTGAGTTTGAACTAGGTTCAACGGCTGTGAATTGGACGACGGGCGAGTTGCCGCCGAGTCCAGCGTCGGAGTAAGCAATGGATGTACATAGCTTATCACACATACATACTCGCATTTGATTTTCTTTCGTTCTCATTTCTTGCACTTTAGTCTTAGCATTTGTATTTAGCTTTTCGTACGTCTCTTGATTCAACCTATCTATCATCTTAATCTCGATTCTTGCGTTGCCTCTTAATAACCCCTGTGGAATGGTCCCATTTACGGATAATGGTATTCGGAACTTTTGGACGGTCTTCCTTCCTCTTAACTCGCGGTTTGTCATCAATCACTCTTAGTGTAATTCCTCTCGATAGTTTCTAGTCGTTCGGTAAGCCGTGATGATTGGGTAGAGAGCTGATCTACGGGCCTGGACCACGGTTGAGGTAGCGAGACCCCGCAACGGTACTTCGGTTGGAGCTTGGAGCGTTGAACACGACATCATAGCTTAGAGTCTCTGAGAATTAGTCCCTGACTCAACAGTAACCCTTTTACGCGTTGACATGGGACATTTAAAAGCGCTACTGTTCGGCGGCCCAGCAAAAATAATCCATTATTCCACTCTTTTATTAAATCGGAGGTATTCACACGATTGACTGATTTCTCTACGAGAACGAAATCGATCATAGCTGCTATGCTTGCACTACCCAGGGCCACAGCTCAAGCACACCCAAGCCCAGAAATCACGATGCCAGTAACATTGGACCCAAGGCTCTCGGGTTCTCCCCACGTTACCCGCGGTGAAAAAGACTCCCTTTTGAAGACATTACGGGAGAGACAACCCACAATAAAACCGGCTGGCCACCCACCAGAGCACGAATTCAAGCCCCAAGCAAGACCAAGAAAGGCACACCATGGCCCCGGTCCCCAAATTTCTCGAGATACGATCAGCCCCGAGAGGGCCCGACAACTTGAGCGCAACCGTCTCGCTGCGAATAAATGCCGACTAAAAAGGAAGAGAGAACACGAGCAGATCCAGGGTGTATTAGAGGCCGAGACAGCAAGACGAGATATACTATTAGCGGAGGTGGGTGCTCTTAGAGAGGAACTCTGGCGTCTGAAAAACCGAGTCTTTGCACATGCAAACTGTGACGATCAGCATATCAGCCTCCAGCTTTCACAAATGAACCAGGATCTGCTTGACTCGAGCTCGCGGCGACGTTCGTCCTCGTCTTTTTCGGATATTTCGTCTTGTGGTGGATCAGAAGAAGGTTTCATGAGTATGGATGTGTGTACGACTTACCCGGAATGGGAAGTTTTCTCGAGTGGGCTGCCTGTCTACGATCAGGGCCATTGTGGAGGACATTTTGATGAATTACTGGACAACTTCTGTGATGCCACCCAGATGTAGGGGATGTTTTCGGCTCTTTTGTGTATCTACTTCAGTTGTGACGAGACCTATGAAAATAATGCTAGTGACCCTTGATGTCATCCTTGTTACTAGAGTACGTTCTCGAATCATTGCACGGAGAGATCGAATGTAATTGAACTAGTAGCAGCGACTGGATAACTATTCAGCGACCGTGTACATGTTTTGAGATCTCTTTTCAGGATCTGCAATGCGATATAGATTCAAAATTCGATATTGATTCAATATTAAATCTATAAGGACGCAACGGAATAATTTCCCTACCATTGAAGATAATAGCTGAATATTAAAAGCCGGATAATGTACGCCGGGGCGGGGGGAACTCTGAGCTTCGAATATGTACATCGAAAGCCCCACTCTTTTCTCTCAGTTTCATGGGAATGCCCATGTGGAGAAATGCAACCACTCAACTGTTTCCGGATTCATCATCCTGTCCGTTCTCAGGCTTTGAGATGTCAATTAATTGATCGGAACGGCCGGGACATATCTGTGGGGAAGGTTCTGATTGAAGGGAACGAATTGCCACCCAACTGATTACCCGTAGGGCTGGGTATCGAGGTGGAGCCGTGCACCATCGAGTTACCTTGCCACCAACGACGAGAGTTCTAGAGAAGTTACGATTTGTTAGCACTAGCACTTGACTGCTTGACACTTGATGTAGACGGTAATATGACTGCAGTGGCTGGTTAATCCCCGTTCTACTGCAAAAGGCAAATTGGCGACCATACAATCGAAAGCCTGATCAATTTCAGTATTAGGTATGCATTCCTAGCTCAACTTTCTACAATCTCCGTGTTATCGGGCGCTGCCGGCCGTTTGAGTAACATTAAGCTTCGTCAGGTCACTCGTATGACGCTTGAATTTCTGTCACTGGAGTGGTTTTAAAGTATCTCGCGCTGCACTAGCTTTTCGCCTCTTAATGAATAACCACCGGCTCAGCTCCATGTAAGCAACAGTTGAACCATGGAGAGGTCAGCCGAGCGACTCTGGATAAGAGGAGATCCACGAGCTCGGTGGAAGTTCGACTTGCATCTCGTAGGAATTTATCCTTGTGGCTATCTTGCAGAATCTCCAAGCGAACTTTCTGGAAAGACAGCAGGCGCACAAGCACTGACAGCCTTTTCTGATATCGAGGAGAGACATAAAACGCTTATTCCTCTGCTATCGTCAAGCACAAGTATATCAGATAATATAATTCCAGTTCGCTGGACAAAAATTGCACTAAACAACACCGGTCGATTTCCTGCCGGGACACATCTTCTTATCGGCTCTTCTCAAATATGTCAAAGCCTTCCCAAAACAGTGTACATATCATTTGGCCACGAAGAAATCTGGACTTGAAGGGTTGGCTTTGAAATGAATCGGAGCAGTCTCTATCCAAGCATCTCTATCTATGATGAAATAGGCGTAGAGGTGACTGGCCACTGATGGCGTCGTTTGCCCTTGTGAAATATCTTCATGTAACGATCATAGAGACACACTCGATAAGTATGGAAGACATACATCACACTCTTAGCAGCTCCTAGCAAAGACGCTCGAGCCATTTAGCAGAGCTTAGGATAACAAATCATGGGTGCGAAATCTTCAGGGATATACTATTCTTGTTCACATTGTTGCCATCCAAAGGATTTCCTTCTACTATTGTCCACAGCAGGAATTTTGAATCATGCTGATTTATTCCTATCTATTGTAGAAGCCGGACCACGATTGAATCTACTGAATCACACTTCGGTGCCATACTAACGCCCTGCGTATGGAGCTTAATCATCTAAATCGTGTTTGTTGGCATTTAGGACGCAACGTTTGTTATTGTTTCGATGTAATCGACGCCCTACTCTCACGTATCCTACTTAATCCGAAGTGATCAAGATAAAATATGGTTTGAGCCAATGGCAGGTGGATTCTGCAGGAGTAAGCGTAACCTGGTGAATTGCTTGATGATCGTCATTGGATCAACTCTGTTGGTGAATTCGTTGTCCTGCTATAACTGCGACATCTTTTATATGATTCCATATCGAATTGAACACATCATATGTTTTTCCGTGATGATAAAGAGTAATGTCTAGGACAGAGTGGCCAGCAGCTCTGATGATAACTGGATCACATGGCCCTCCATTGTAAACCTCTTTTCTTTTTCTTGCGATGTCTATGAATGCTCAAAGCCTTGCAGATATCAGAGCCAGTCTATCTCTGTGTTAAAGGCGACTGGAGTCCTCGAGTCCTGTCTGAAGCCCATTCTTATGGGTACTGAGGATCCTTACTACTTAGGCAGCCCCGATCACGACGTGCCATTATATTAAGTGCTTTCTACCCAGATTGAGTCAGTTCTAAGCCAGAGTAACCATCTAGATACCTGTATAATGACCTGAGATGCAGTATTGTCTTTCTATTTCTCAAAAAGCTACCTAATGAAGATCCTAACAATGCCTATTCACACTAGGTTGCAGTCTTTTCCTAGACAAAACCAAGATAATCAATAATTTACGATTCGTAGGTTAAGCGTATAGCAAAATGCCCTGGACTCTTGGGCGAGATTAGAATTTAAAAACAGTCCCCAGCCAAGAGGCAGGGAAGGTTTGAGTCTCACCGAGATGCATCTGGTAAGGCGAGATCCAGAAGCAGTCAACGTGGTACCCGCGCCAGGCCAGGAACGGCGGACTGTGGCCCGGTGCCAGTGTTAGAATTGATGGGTATCGCGATAATAATCAACATACGGTCAAGATAGAGCGTCAGATCAATTCAATTCAAGTTAACACGATTCATCGCTCCCAGAATACCGCCTCAACAAAGCCGGGCCAAGTCACTGGCCAAAACCGGATTCGCGTTCAGAGAAAACCACCAGGAGGCCCGAGCTCCCCGCATCTCCACCGTAACAATCGCAGCTCACCCCCGCAGCCAATCACTCCGGCGGCCTGGCCAGCACTGGCCTGCGCGATAAACGTTGAGAGAAGTCTCAGAGAGGGGTCCCGTTACTTCTTTCCCCTTTTCCTCTTTCATTTCAACTTTTTCCATCCGTAAACAATCTGGACGCAAAGAGATGGCGTCTACTACTGAAGTGCCCGCCGACGGAACAGGTACGTCACTGCTCTAGCAGCTCTGCTGAGCTGGACCGGGTCGAGCCACGAGCTCGCTGGTCGCCATTTGGGGCGGCCCCTCATTAATCGGTCGCTAATTCGTGTCATGCTATCCAGGTGTCCTTCAACTTGACCCCTGGTTGGAACCTCATCGTGATGTGCTGAAGCATCGCTACAGTTTGGTGGAGAAATGGGCCAACGACATCAAGGAATCGGAGGGTGGCCTGGACAAGTTCAGCAAGGTAGAAAGAAATCCTTCTGCGCCAAATGTGACCAATTAGCACGAGCTAACTACGGTCATTTCTTCCAGGGCTATGAAACTTTTGGTCTCAACGCTCAGCCAAACGGCGACATCAAGTACCGGGAATGGGCGCCGAATGCAGTGGAGGCCTCGCTGGTCGGTGATTTCAGTATGTACATCCAGGTGGAGGGCAAAGTCAAAGATCATGAACCGAAATACTGAGACTGGCAGACAACTGGGATAACAATGCCAACCCGATGACGAAGAACAGCTTCGGCGTGTGGGAAGTGACCGTGCCTGCTATTAATGGCAGCCCGGCGATTCCCCACGAGAGCAAGATCAAGGTAAGCCCACCTTTGGCGTTGGAGAGAGCTCCCAAGCTAACATTAACTTAACAAATTTAGATCACCATGGTTCTCCCGAGTGGCGAGCGCATCTATCGCATTCCTGCATGGATCAAGCGGGTCGTGCAGGACCTCGACGTCTCCCCAGTCTACGACGCCGTTTTCTGGAACCCACCCGCCAGCGATCGGTATACCTTCAAACACTCACGGCCCAAGAAGCCCGAGAGTCTGCGTATCTACGAGGCACACGTCGGCATCTCGTCGCCCGACACCCGGGTCGCCACGTACAAGGAATTTACCAAGAACATGCTCCCGCGTATCAAGTACCTGGGCTACAACGCGATCCAGTTGATGGCCATTATGGAGCACGCCTACTACGCCAGCTTCGGGTACCAAGTGAACAATTTCTTTGCCGCAAGCAGTCGCTACGGGTCCCCCGAGGATCTGAAGGAGTTGATTGACACTGCCCACAATATGGGGCTGGTGGTACTGCTGGATGTGGTGCACAGTCATGCATCGAAGAACGTGCTCGATGGTTTGAACATGTTCGATGGATCCGATCATCTCTATTTCCACGAGGGTGGAAAGGGTCGCCATGAGCTTTGGGATAGTCGATTGTTCAACTATGGGCATCATGAAGTGCTGCGGTTCCTCTTGAGTAACCTGCGCTTCTGGATGGACGAGTATCAGTTTGATGGTTTCCGTTTCGACGGTGTCACTAGTATGCTTTACGTGCACCACGGTATTGGAACGTATGTCCACCCTTTCTTCGTCACCCACCATATCCCTACATCTCAACTAACCATACTCTTAGCGGCTTCTCTGGTGGCTATCACGAGTACTTCGGCCCCGGTGTCGATGAGGAGGGCGTCACTTACCTGGCCCTTGCCAACACAATGCTGCACGAGCTCTATCCCGAGTGTATCACCGTCGCAGAAGACGTCTCGGGCATGCCCGCATTGTGTCTTCCGCATTCTCTTGGAGGAGTCGGCTTCGACTACCGACTGGCCATGGCCGTACCCGATATGTACATCAAGCTGCTGAAAGAAAAGGCCGACAGCGAGTGGAACATCGGCAACCTTGCGTTCACACTGACAAACCGTCGCCACGGCGAAAAGACCATCGCCTACGCCGAGAGCCACGACCAAGCGTAAGTACAACCCCGAAAACAGCATCTCCTCTACACACACAACCTCTCTAACAACAGCTCCTGCACAAACAGACTAGTCGGCGACAAAACCCTCATGATGTGGCTCTGCGACAAAGAAATGTACACCCACATGTCCGTCCTCACAGAGTTCACCCCGGTCATCGAACGCGGCATGGCCCTCCACAAAATGATTCGGCTAGTGACCCACGGCCTCGGCGGCGAAGGCTACCTCAACTTCGAAGGCAACGAATTCGGCCACCCGGAATGGCTCGATTTCCCGCGCGAAGGAAACGACAATTCCTTCTGGTACGCCCGCCGCCAACTAAACCTCACAGAAGACCCCCTCCTCCGCTACAAATTCCTAAACGAATTCGACCGCGCCATGCAACTCGGCGAGGCCAAGTATGGATGGCTGCATGCGCCGCAGGCGTACGTTAGCTTGAAGAATGAGGATGATAAGGTGCTCGTCTTTGAGAGGGCGGGATTACTGTGGATCTTTAATTTCCACCCTACGCAGAGTTTCACTGATTACCGGGTTGGAGTTGACGTCCCAGGGACGTATCGGATCGTGCTTGATTCTGATGATAAGGCGTTCGGGGGGTTGGGGCGCAATGTGAAGGAGACGAGATTCTTTACGACTGATATGCCGTGGAATGGGAGGGCGAACTTTACGCAGGTTTACATCCCGACGAGGACTGCTTTGGTGAGTTTGAGATCTCCGATTTCTTGACTTCGTGTGCTGTTGAGTTTTGGCTAACTGGTTCGGTGGTATAGGTTCTCGCTTTGGAAGAAACTCTGTGAAAGGCAACGCATGGAGAGTGTCATGGGTCCTCAACTCCGTGACTCAACGATACACGAAGAGTCATGTGCGACATCTTCGTCTGGATTTAGTCTTTTAGCTATTTAGCTTAGCTTGTTCTGTTTAATCGAGTGAATGGTTTGAATTTTACAACTTTTGCTTCCTCTCTATGTCGTCCACATGGACAAGTAATAAGGTGACCTTTACATCTGGGAATGGCATAACGCTAGCTAGCATCATGGCAGAGCAGTGCAGTGCAGTCACAGATACCAGGTCAGGTAGGACTTTGAAGACACCTTGATGCCAAATCCAAGGAGGGTACCGTCTGATTTTCCCAGAGGATGGATGCCATGCCGAGATCCAGTTAACTACGAATACCAAGTCTACTACAATAAGATATCAAGTCTTCAACAAAAGAAAGTACAATTGGACACCAGGATATTTAGGGTCGCCATACAGGCCATGGGTTTTCAACTCTAAATACACAATAATGAAACACAAGCCAAGCCAGGGTGCGTCTAGCAAGACTTTAAAAGGGAGATAATCTCATCAACTTGCTCGTTAGACAAGACGGAGGGTTGATCTTCCCACACCCAGACAACCTCATCAAGAATCTCTTTCCTCCACTTTCTTATTCTCTTCTGGGGCCTTGCTCATCCCCACCGACATGCAATGCAGTCCCGGGTCGGATCCCTTCACACCTCATTCCCCCACTAGATCAGGTAGCATCCTCGTCCCCGTTTTCACGGGTACGTCCAAAGTCAAAACATCTTTCGAGTCAAGTGTCGGTATCTTTCCACAGGAACATCACGTCAGAACGACAATAGCGGAATCAATTGTGACAATCAAGAATCCCCTTCTGGTTTTCGTTACTTTCTCTTTAAGATCGGAGTAAAATACACGCAATCGAAAAGGAAAGATGACGTCTAGTGGGAGACGAGACACGCAGGACTGACTCGAAAAGAGTTCGAAAGACAAAGGAACAAAAGAAAGACCAGATCCAGACCAGAGGGAAACAGAAGTGGGAAGGGAGGCATACAGACACACACGGTGGAGAAAAAAGAGGTTGGCAAGAAGATTTCAGAAAGCAGCGAAAGTTGTTTTTGACAAGAGGGATGTTGAACATGGGATAGAAAACCCCCCGCCGCTAGCTAAGCAAATGGACAAAATTACATTTAGGAAGAGCCCTCGAGCTCAGCCAGAATCTTCTCACCCTTGGCGCGGGCGGAGGCGAAGTCACCAACCATGTAGAAGGCGTTCTCAGGGAGGTCATCACCCTCACCGTTGATAATAGCCTTGAAGGAGGCAATGGTGTCCTTCAGGTCAACGAGCTGACCCTCGATACCAGTGAAGACCTGGGCGACAGCGAAGGGCTGGGACAGGAAACGCTGGAGCTTACGGGCACGCTCGACGGTAAGCTTGTCAGCCTCGGACAACTCGTCCATACCGAGAATGGCAATGATATCCTGGAGGGACTTGTACTCCTGGAGCATCTGCTGGACACGGCTGGCGGTGTTGTAGTGGTCGTCACCGATGATACGGGGGTCGAGCATACGGGACTTGGAATCCAGAGGGTCGACAGCGGGGTAGATACCCAGCTCGGAGATACCACGGGACAACACAGTGGTGGCGTCCAAGTGAGCGAAGGTGGTAGCGGGGGCGGGATCAGTCAGATCGTCAGCAGGCACGTAGACGGCCTGGACGGAGGTAATGGAACCCTTCTGGGTGGTGGTGATACGCTCCTGCATACCACCCATGTCAACGGCCAGGGTGGGCTGGTAACCGACGGCAGAGGGGATACGACCGAGAAGGGCAGACACCTCGGAACCGGCCTGGGTGAAACGGAAAATGTTGTCAATGAAGAGCAGCACATCCTGACCCTCCTCGTCACGGAAGTACTCGGCAATGGTCAGACCGGTCAGGGCGACACGGGCACGGGCACCCGGGGGCTCGTTCATCTGACCGAAGACCAGAGCGACCTTGGAGGGGCCATCGAGCTGGATGACACCAGTCTCCTGCATCTCGTGGTACAGATCGTTACCCTCACGGGTACGCTCACCGACACCGCAGAACACGGAGTAACCACCGTGGGCCTTGGCAATGTTGTTCTAAAGGCAGGGTTATTAGTATAATTCGAAGGAGGATAGTTTGCGGAAAACTTACAATCAGCTCCTGAATGAACACGGTCTTACCGACACCGGCACCACCGAACAGACCAATCTTACCACCACGGGCGTAGGGGGCAAGGAGATCGACGACCTTGATACCAGTGACGAGAATCTCAGCAGAGGTGGACTGCTCGACGAACTCTGGGGGGTCGGCGTGAATGGGGAGGAACTTGGCGGCGTCAACGGGACCACGCTCGTCAATGGGGTCACCAGTGACGTTCAGGATACGGCCAAGAGTGCCGGGGCCGACGGGAACCTTGATGGGGGAACCGGTGTCACGGGCGACAGCACCACGCATGAGACCCTCGGTACCTGAAGATGGACGTTAGCAAGACGAAGTTCAAGCCATTAACAACATGCCGGGCCGACCAGGTGGGTCCCCATCCCCTTTTAGGGAAGGATCAAGGGCACGACACGATGGCTCTGGGCAAGAGATGCAGGGGAAGCTTACCGTCCATGGCAATAGTACGGACGACATTCTCACCCAAGTGTTGCTGAACAAAGACAAGCAGGTTAGCTAGATGCGATGAGAGAGGGAGGGAGAGCAGGGGGTGGATGATTGTTGGGAGAGGTCGGGCGTGGACCAATCACAGGGCACGTACGGAAACCTCGAGCACAAGCTTCTGGCCGTTGTTCTCGGTCTCAATGGCGTTGAGAATGGCAGGGAGCTTCTCGCCCTCGAACTTCACTGTAATATGGCGAATATCAGGTCAGCCAGTGTCCCTGGGAGTTGTTTTGGGATCGATTGCGATGGCTTTGGAGATGGATTGGGGCCGAGGAAAAGATTTTCGCGCGTGTCCCCCCAAGTCCTGCCAGGGCGTCGAGGAGCGACCACGTACCGTCAACGACGGCACCAATAACCTGGTGAATCTTGCCAGCCTGAGCGACATCCGAGCTGGCGAAGCGAGCAGAGAGGGCGGGCAGGGCATTGGCGCGGAGAGGCTTGAAGGCGCGGGCGACGGGGGTCGGCCGGGCGAAGGCAGCCCTCCCGAAGGTCCGGGCGAGACCGCTGTAGAGAACGAAAAAAAACCAGTTAGAGGGATACGAGACCTTGATGAAGAGGAGCAAAGTGTTGATGAATAGAAAGGGAGGGGATGGGGGCAATGGGGTGACGTACCTCTTGAACATGATGGAGGTGTTGAAGAGCGAGGTGTAGGGATAGAGAAGGTGTGGATGGGGAAGGGAAAAGAGGGAAGAAGAGGAATGGGAAGAGGTTGGTGGACTCTGGCAGTGGTCTCTCTCGCTGGCACGGGAACTGGGCCGCACTACGCCTTTCCGGGGCGGTTTTGCCGATGGTCCCGTGATGAACCGATGGTCGGAGACTGCAGGTCTACAACTTTCGGAATCGAACCTAAGACTGTGAACTCCTGCAATGGTGTCTCCAAACTAATCTTTTTTCAAGCTCGATGCATTTAAATCCAGCTCTTAAGTTGACTCCCATCTCACCTCCCGTGGTGGTGTGGCTATTCCCTCCCGTTGCCAGGACATCCCTCGCCCTTCTCACCGGTCGGCTTGGCATCCGGATGCAGGGGGAGCCCCAGCGCAACTATAAAAACCTCGAAAGCATGCAAAAAACCGTTCGGTAAATCTTCATACAAATATATCGACATGCAGCATTTTACAGTCGATCACCATATTCCCCAGCCATTGACCTCGATTTCGGGCGTTTGGTGGTGGTTCCCCAATTCCCAGTATTTTCGCCGATCGGAAATCTCTGACGTGTGAACTCGGAGTGCTCGACCGCCCATCCGAATTCTGGTCGCTCTGGTATGAACAACCATAGAAAACTGCAAAAGCTCTTCCCGAGCTGGCCATGAGCTTCATAACTATCGTAACAATCCTTATATAAATGCTCAACATCATCATACGTACTACCTACCCGTCTTCATTGTGTATATTGGTTACATTGCAGCTCGCAATGGTCCGGTCTCCTTCTCGTGCGCTTGGACAGGGGTTCTCCGCACCTGGTCTGCGGGTTCCGAATCCCTCCGGGAAAACCGACGCACCACCGCACCACCGGAGACCACCTACGTACGAGGGGATATGGGTCTACGGATCAACACAAGAATACATTGAATGACAATCAGATAACGAAGCAAGCGTAAGAAAACAACGAAACGGTCCAACATGTTTCTCTATGGCTACAAAAGAGATACATTGACTATAGCACAGTACGGGATACACGCATTTTCGGATGCTTGTGGGCCAAAAGACAAACAACGATGAATAGCCCAGACTGGCATTGACCGGGTGCCCATCGGCGGTCAATTCGACATCGACATGGCAAGCAGCATGCAAGCCATGGACCCGGGGGAATACCTCCGAGTCCCGATAGGCGTGCAAAATCGAAATCCCGCACCGTTCGATCCCAATATCCGAGTCCGGTTCATCATCCCCAATCGGGCACCTAGCCCACTTATGACTTCTCGGCGGGGGGGCTCTGCACGAAGCCCTTGCCCTCGTAGCCCTCCTTGCTGATGCCGTGGATGGGGTTGATCTTCTCGGACTGTAGGTGGAGAAAGATGTTAGCAAATACTAGACCAATTTCAACGGAGCATGGGTGCGCGAGAATCTCAGAGAGAAAATCATTGGCAGCCAGCAAGATCAATTCCGCAGTTGAAGAGAGTGGACGTACCAGAGCGTATTCGTTGGAGGCCTCCTGCCACTCCTTGGACATGGTCTTAGGCTGGGGCTTGGCGAAGTAGTGGATAGCGTAGAAGACGAGGAAGGAGGCGAGAGTGAGCTGGGTAACCTTGAAGAAGATCTTCAGGCCCTCACCCTTGGGGGTCTCAGCGCGGGGACCGTGAGGACCGAAGGCAATCCAGTAGGCTAGAGGAGGGGAAAAGGAACGATATCAGTAACGCCGAAAAAGGAAATTCAAGGATGGTCGAATAAATTTCAGCCTCGGATACCGCAGGGTGGGCGAGTAACCACTTCCGAGACGGCAAATTGATATTCACAGGATAGTACGTACCGGCCTTCTTCTCCTGGAGGGTCATTTGGTGCCAGTCAACCTTCATACGGTCACGGAGCTGCATCCACAGCTCGGCCTGCTCCTGAGGGGGCATGCCCTCCCAGCGCTTCTCGATGGAGGCCAGAGTAGGGTTCGAGATAGCGTGGTCGGAGGCAGCGCGGGCCTGCAGGGCGTTCAGCGAGGCCAATGGGCCGGCACGGATGGCGGCCGGGCTGCGAGGAGCAGCGCGAGCGATGGAGCGAAGAAACATTGTGCGGCAGGTGGGAGGTGGGAGCACCACGTCGAAACGAGTCAATTGAGGGTGGAGAAGGGAGTCCGGGACCAGAAGAGTCTGGCAGCGAGGGGGACTCGGCTGGAGAAGAGAGTGGAGGGGGGGAGTCGGGGGATGGGGAAGGATTGAAGTTGTTCTGGTGGTTTGAGGTGGAAAGTCGCGAGGTTTCCGGACTAGCGCTGGTCTGGTTTGTCCGCCCGCTGATTGGGCCGCTGTCCAGCCCGGCCGCCAGTGAGCATCATCATCATTCTCAGCAGCATCATACGATGGGAAATAGACTGTCTATGGGCTTAGCACATGCATTAAAAGTCATACAGAAGACTCCAATGGCTTCAAGTCTTTGAAAATGCACGATCAACGTATTTCTTTCTCGTTAACCCCGGTCGGTAACCCACATCTACCTTCGCTCGTACGGGACTCGGTCGCAGCCCTAGGGAAGAGGGGCTTGTACAACCACGACAAAAATTAGAAGATAGAAAATTAAAGGCTATCAGATTGACCTCGAGCTCTCCTTTTCTTGATACACTAACAATTCATCGTCCGGCTGCTCCCAATTGGCTGGTTTAGAGCCTATTCTACTTTTTAGATCAACCAATTCAAACGAACAGCCTAGCCTGCCTCCCAAACCCAACCAGTCGCATTGGAAAACGAGGCATAATCGAATACGGAGCAAGGAAGGCAAATGATCACAAATGCACAAAGGAACAAGAATCGAAAGAGAATCATGACCATGACTATTTCGCGAAAGGAAAACGAGATGAGAAAGAACGGCCAAAGTCGTAACGGTCTTTGCATTGCAACTAGGAAAAAGAAGAAGAGAAAACGAAGAGAACGGTGTGCAGAGAAGCGGATGGATTTAATCGTGCCGTAGCACCGTCAAGGTGGGAAAACAAAATGCCCTATCGATCACGCAGCCCGGACCCAGCCGGCGCCGTTATCTATTTACCAGCCTTGCCACCGCTAGCCTCGAAGAGGACGGTCTTCCACTCAATGTCGGACTTGTCATCGGCGTGGATGGAGGCCGAGAGGTTGAGAGCGTTCTTCAGGACCTCACGGGTGCTGGCGTAGATCATGGACCACTAGATAGCCGTGTTAGTCAAACGAAAGATGTGATTGCGAATGCGACACCTCGCAAATCAGAAGTCCGGCAATTGGGACTTACCAGAGTAGGGGTGTCGCTAGGGACCCAGGAGATGAAGATGATCTTGCTTCTGTAATTGGAACATGTGAGTGGAAAGAAGCTCTCCCTAATCACGACTATGGCGGATGCCTAGAAATTGGGGGGGGGGATGCGCACCTCTTGCCCTCGCCACCACCGAGGTCGTACTCAACGTCGTAGACAGCGTACCGGGGAGCGGGACGGCCCTGGCTATCCTTTGAAGCAGCGAGCTGCTCACGGAAAACCTCGTAGTCCTGATCGTGACCGACGGCGTCGACAACAACGTCCTTCTTGTTATCGGAGATCTTGTAGATGATGTACTTGGTCTTGCCCTTGCTGAGACGGAACTCATTGAATGCCGTCAGGCACTCATCCTGGACGGAGACACTGCGAATCGAAATATCAATATAAAATCCAATGGTAGTGGTGGTAATGGTGAGAAAATAGTGCGAATCTAGCCGCTGACGGGAGAGAGTAGGGAGAGATCATACCCGGATGCGAGCTGCGCAACAAACACAAATTAGTATATAATCGCAATGGGGGAAGGAAGCCGTGACCTGTTCAATACTTACAGACATGTTTTTTTTTGTAGATGAGAGAGAAGAGGAAAAGGGGGAGAGAATGACGGGTCACCTAGGAAGTGGCACACGATGTCAGTGGCTGAGATGTCAGGAACAGGGGAAGTCTCCTCTCGAGGACAACTTGTTTGAGCGACCACGGCGAGGAGGTAGAAGCTCCGAGGATGGTAGTTATATGGAGCAGCTCACACAAAAACCGGGGACAAGGGGATTCTCACAAGATTAACGGGGGAATGGGGAGTGGATGGGGGGGTTGAGGCGGAGGGGTTGTTGCCCAGGTGTTGCGATGGTGGGGGGTGGCTGCACGTGATGCCGGTACACCTATTTTGGAATAAACAAAGTGCAGGTCGAGAGTTATACAATGCCAGGCCTATATATATCTATGATAGCCCTGGAGGCTCTGGTGACCAATCTATGGATCCAGCGATATTACGGGCCTTGTATTACGAATTCCTTTTCCCCAGGCATCTATTAGGTGTACTGGCAGCCTAGGCTGCAGTTGACGTCCCTCCCAGCATCTATGTAGCTCCACAGCCACGCAGTAGGGTTGCTGGAGATCCCACCACCTGGCACGGATAGGCCCTGCACGACATACTTGTTCCGAGGACGGCATTTCCATACTGCAGTAGTGGAGGCACTGATGTCTTGGACATATAGAGACCGGGGTATTGTACCTACGCGCTAATATTGGACGTGGCCGTCAACCGTGGGACGGAGGGCCCGTACACGTCACTGGGTGCCCAGAAGTAAGGATGCCCTACACAATACGGCCTACAGCAAAGTCCTACAGCATGAATCAGCCTTCACTTCCGCAAGTAGACTTCCACTACAATTCCCGTCTAGATCCAGAACAGCTCAATTAGAAGAAGAATCAGGAATGTAAATGTTAATGTTAATGTCATTATCCGAGCATCTGATCCAGCCACAAGCTCTTATAGCCTATCTCCAAAATCCAGCAGCCTACTTCTGAGCAGCAAATCTAGCCCGCATCCGTTCCGCAACAGCCTTCTCATCCCAAATATAGTTAACACTCTCATGCGCAATAGTAGCCTCAGCCCAGCGCTTGAATCGTGGAGCCTGCTGCTCCAACAGTGCAGGCAACTTGGCACTAACCAATCCATACTCAGGCTTACTTAAGCCAAGGATGCGAAGCAGGAAAGAGCCGGACAGAACCTGCAACCAAACATGAATACAAATTGCATCTAAAGAACCTGGGGAAAACAACATACCTCGGCCAAAGTGAGCTTATCACTACCACCAAAGAAAGGACCCTTGCCCTCGGTATCGGCAAGAAGAGGCTCAACCTCCTTCACGATACCGGCAACCAGTAGCTCGACGGCAGCATCGCGGTCCGCATCCGAGGTAGATCTGAGGCTGGTAAAGAAGTGGGGGATGACCTTGCTGAAGAATGCATCGACGAAGAAGGACAGGCGCGCACGGTACAGCGCGTTCTCTGCGGGGCCGGATGCCGGCAGGAGGTGTGAGGGGTGTGCGTCGGCGAGGAATTGCGCGACAATGCCGGACTCGGTGATGATGTTGCCGTTGTACGAGAGGCTGGGTACCAGGCCGCGCTGTATACGGATGATATTAGATTTTTGTCTCTAGGACGTTACGCAGAGCTGGGGATGTTCCCGCTATTGGAAGCTGAGCCAGGTAGCAAATTGGCTCAGCTGTTTGGTGAATAGCGGGTAGCAATGTACATACCGGGTTGACTTCCAGATACCACGGCTCGCGAGGAACGCTCAAGTCAATTGTGACCTCCTCATACTCGAGGCCAAGCTCCTTGAGAATGATGTGGGCACGGTGAGCCCAGGGGCAGCCGCGGTTAGTGTAGAGAATGATCTTGGGGGAGGCCATGGTGTTGGCTTCAATGAGGATAGCTGAGTAGTTGAGTTCAATCAAGCAGGAGAGTCCGGAGAAGTCGGGGGAAGAATATGTAGATGCTCAAATGTGGAAGCACCTGGGAAAGATGCCATTATTAATGGTATCACGGAATGTGGTAACTAGAAGGAGGGGTGGATTAGTAAAAGGCGATTGCGAAATCCATGAGGTCCTCGGATCCTCCTTAACGCCGAGCCGGGTAAGCAATGATGAGAACCGCTGCAGAATGTGGGGTGGAGTGGGAGTCCGAGTGGAGGAGGGCGGGTACCCAACCATGGAAGCATTGCATGACATACTGTAGTTTTGAGGCCAACTTTTGAATGAGATTCGAGTCTAATTATGTACATACATTAATGCTTGCACTATATGTATCCGGGTATCCTAAAACCAAAAGAGAATCGCCGGAGAACACACAACGCAGAATCTCTCAACGGCGGGGTACCGATGTACATAAGAAGACGAAACAAGAATCAAGACCAGCATCCATCGTATACAAGGGTGGCCCTCACTCTGCCCGAGTTCCGTTGCGCCAGCGTTCGGTTCCACGGGACATTGATCAAGTCAATGAAGCGAAGAGAAGAGGAAGATGTAGAGAGAAAAAAGGAGAGAGGTCAAGAGACAAGAGGAAACAATAATAGAAAAAGGGCTGAGCAGATTGATCACCGTAAAATGGGGGGTATATAGAATGCGCATAAGAAAAGAGAAAGGATTTGCACACACTCACTCACTCATGCCACGCAAGCATCCCCAGGCAATCGGATTGCGAGGATCTAGAATCGTCGGGGGCGGAGTTGGCCAGGGCGGCCAGCCTGATGAAGGGAGTCAGGGAATAAACACAGGCACACGGGTGAGATGACTTCTCGCGAAGCTGGCGCGACGAAATGAGAATGCTGCACACGCTGTCGTCAAGGCGTAATTATCGCATGAAAACAAGGGAGACCGAACAAGGTCCAGTCCCGCGCTCAAACTTCATCATCCTCCTCCTGAACGCCACAGTCGATGATTTTCCGCCAGTGTTGTGGCAGACAGACACACACCAACGGGAAAGCCTTGATCTCACCGGAGGGTGCCGGTGACGGGCCCGGCCGCTGCGAGCCATTGGAGACTCCACTATCACGCTGTTCGCGATGGCGGATATCATAATCTTCAGCCCGCTCGGGGATACGTACACCCGTGGCCCAGCCATCGTCCCAAATACCAATCACCTTCAACATCTCACCGCGGTCCAGCTCAAACTCATCACCTGCCCGCGGAGAGTACGCCCACAGGGAAGCCACCTTATCACCGGGTTGGATGTCGTCTTGCGAGTAGTAGTCACGGAAGTAGGACAACTGCTCGGACTGACCACTGGTCACTGCCTCCGGGGATGAGTATTGGTTCGCAGTGCCGGAGAGAGGCGAGCTGTCACTATCTAGGCCAGCCAGAGCAGAGCTACTCGAGAGGGAACCGTGGCGCTTTCCTGTGACGGGAGGAATTCGTCGAGACATGGCCCCGGGACTGGCACCCATGGCTTCCGAATCGGACGAATCGCTATATTTGGTACCACCAAACATTGCAGCAGATGTTCGAGAGTAAGCAGGCGAGGAGCTGGGGACCTCGCGCAAGGCGGACATGCGGGCAACGCGCCCTCCAGGTACCATATTATATCCCGTGGGACTTTCCGGCTGCTGCATGGGTGGCGTCGCGCCCTTGCGCTGTGGGTTGGGTTGATTCAGTGCAGCGTCCGTTTGTGTCTTGCGGCGACGTCGAGTACAAATAAGGAGGAAAGCCAGAAGAGCACCGATGATGGCGGCTGCCGCAACCGAGCCGACCACGATGCCGGCAATTTGACCCCCCGACAGACCGTGATGGGCAGCTCCGCCAGCAGCGGCGGCGGTAGTCGTGACGATCGGCTGGAGAGTCGCAGTCGAGCTGGGAATGACGACACCGTTGCAGCGGCTCGTGGAATTGGAGCTGGAACAGCAGGTATCGGTCGAGTTGGGCGAGGTGGAAGCACAGTAGGTGCAGAGGCCAATCGTATTAGACGAGAAACCGCAGTTATCAGGCTCATTAGCGGAACCACTGATACAGCTGCCGGTGAGGGAGTCGGCTGGATTGGAGCAGATGGTGAAGTCGGAGCGAATCTGCTTCATATAGTCCTTGGTGGTTTTCGGGCAGAGTTCCTTGTTGACCATAATCTCTTGTTCGCTGGTGGCCATGAGCGCACACGTCTCGGCGCATAGTGGTTCTGACTGGGCGGAAGAAAGGTCGCAATCGTCCTTGGAGCTCTGGATCAGACCGCTGCAGATGACACTGGTGGTATATTGGGCATAATAATCATTCATGGCACTTTTGTTCAGGCCATCACAGCCCAACAGATCGACATATCTGGAGGAACACGGTTAGATTCATTGATCGCACGCGTTGGCTGCTCATGCTCGACCACATACTTGGAGGTGACATATGTGTCTGAGACGTAGTTGCTCAAGGCTTTATCGAATGTGGTGAGATTGGAAACCCCATCGAGCCATGGACTGCCGAGGATGATGTTGTTAGTTAGCGCTCATCGCATTTTGGGCGCAATCCCACTCACAAGCTCGCGTATTGGCTGGAATTGACCGAGACTTTGGAGCTACTCCATGCTGAGCAGGCCGTCGACCCCGACAGGGACAAACAGGATGACATCTCGGGTTAGGCGTCCGCCGCAGTCGTTCCTCCTGGTCGGTTTCCCGAGGAATGCTGCCGTGGAATGTGTCAGATAGTATCGAAAGACGATTGGGATTACACGCGTCGCATGTCGGTGTCAATTGCTGCGCGGGAGATTCGGAGTCAAAGCGCTCGATAATAGTCGATTGCTGGGTCAGTCCGGGCAAAAAGTCGCTTCTAGCTCGGGAAAGAAAGGAAGGGAGAATGAAAAGGCGTAGTGAGAATTAAACGAGTGACTCGGGTGCCAACAATAGACGGTGGACCCGCAGAGAAGGAAAGATCAATCGGGGAAGGGGCGCGGTGGCCACGATTGAGGGAGACGAAGAGAAAGAATGGCCAATCGAGAGACGAGCGAAGAAGAGAAGAGAGAGAGGTGAGATGGTGTGGCTCGGTTGGTCTGGGCGTGGGTTCAAGGGAGACTTTGGGGTTTTGGGGGGGAAGCGTGGATACCGCGAGGTACTCGATGCAGCCGTTAGTGCAGGTGCGACGGTACGAAGTACTCACTCGGTGCTCAGACTTGAGAGAAGGGGGCCAGATTGGACTGGTAAAAAAAGGGGGGGCAGGAACTTTGAGACGAACTGGTCTGGACGAATCTGAAACGAGGAGCCTGAGCAATACGGTCCGTACATGCTACTGTAGAGTACTGCGTACTATAAAGATAGTGTCGGCATAGGGCAGGCGTATCGCTTTGTTTACTCGGCCTCACCTTTCCCACGTCGCGTATTCAAAATCTGGACCGGAGCTTCGACTCGACTCGGTAGTAACGGCGCTCAGAGGCTAGCCTGATTGGCAGCACAGGAAGCCAGCAGAGCAAGCGGTAACTACCTGTTCTAGTCCTGTCTAAGAGTTGGCTAGTCCCCGAGTGGTACCTGGCGTTGGTCGAGTTGGTCGATATCCACCACTCAGAGTGCCCCTGAAAGGACCCAGTTGGCCGATCGCTATCACCCACCCGCTTCGCAAATTTTTCGAGCTTGATAAATACACGAAAGCCGTACGGAGTACGGCATACAATACGGAGTACCGAGAACGGTAGAGAGCCATTGAATTCTTTTTAGGCTCACCTTGCATCCCGTACTGGCTCTTCAAGAAACAAATGTGAGCTGTATCGTGCGCGGGCTGGGTTGATGCGAGGGACGGAAGATTTTCTCCTGTAGGATGCAGACCATGCATCAAGCATGATGACGATACTTAGACAGGATGTGGCTTGAACTCCCGTCTTTCTGCATTATTGGGTGCAGTACTCCGTAGTTCTACGGGGTACAGAAGACTGACGATATATCTATCGTACGCGGGTACAGTCAAGGTTGATCTCGGCATAGAGCGGGTACACGGGTCTCTTCAGAACCGAGCACTTCGGCAGGCAGAACCACTAAACCCACGCTCAAAGACCCTGCCCAGAGCCCCCCCACCGTTCTATGTGCGATCGAGGACGATGACTAATTCAATCTACTAACGTAATTCCCAGCTACCCTGGCCACCCGGTTACCCTGGCCACCCCGAAACACCATACAAAATGCAATATTTCATGTCACAATATGTCAACAACGAGAAGATAATTCTACTTAACTTTAAGCATGATAACATTTTATAGTATTTGGAACATTGTAGCATAATTAATCTATTCAGGAAATAATTAAATACCGCTATTACCAAAATTACGCCCCGATCGAGCGACGTGGATATGTACACCTATAATGTTATGGCTTGAAATGTTATTCGACCTGATGTAAATATATAATATGACATATTAAGCAACAAGGTATCCTATGACTATGATAATCAGTGTTGAGTGTTGAAATATATAGGTCGCGAAAAAGGGCATTTAGTATGGTGTTTCGGGGTGGCCAGGGTAACCGGGTGGCCAGGGTAGCTGGGAATTACGTTAACGTATTGGACAAGCGAGCGAGCCACCCAACCGAGCGGGCCACCCCAAAACACCATACTGAAGGCGAATTTCTAGGTCATTATATATCAACAACGAGAAGTTAGTCTTACTTGATTCTTCGTAGAGAATGTTTTCTGAGCACTAGAAATAGTACAGCACAACTGATATATTCATAATATGATTATTTACACGTAATACCAAAAATACGCCACCACCGACCGATGTAGATATATATATCCATAATATCACACCCTAAAATATTTCCTACGTTAAGGATAATACGTATTATAGTAGATTAAATATCAAGATATCTTAAGATAAGATGATTAGCTTCGAGCGTTAAATTATCAAGTCGTGAAATTTTACATTTAGTATGTTGGTTTGGGGTGGCCCGCTCGGTTGGGTGGCTCGCTCGCTTGTCCAATACGTTAACTAACTAACTAACTAGTTAAACTATGCCTCCGACGGGGTACGCTATTCTGCAAGACCGGTAACTTCGTTAGTTTTCCTCTATATATGTCGATCATGCAACATGCAATGGATGGACAACTCATGCAGAATGCTTGGCATATAACTAGCTCTCAGTATATGTAGCAATCATGAGTTGACAGGTCAGCTCCACGTCTCATCGAGTATACAGAGCACCGTCTATAGACGTCGACTGGAAAGTCAAATGTAGCTGCCTCACTCTCGGGGCCACCATGCTCTTTTCCTGCTACTGTACATCGGCATGTCACATGATCAGACGTCATCTGATCCCCGGAATGGCAGCAGGCTGCCACTTGACTTTGACAACTGCAAACCAACTCATCCTCAACGACCTGAACAGTTGTATAGGATCTCTCTGCACTTCTCTTCAAGGCATATAAAGCTCTCTTTTGTGACCTTGGATCTTGGCTTGTCCTCGATCCCCTCTTTCTTGCAGGTGATACATAGCACGCAACTCTAACCACCCCTCTCTTCGGAAAGCCATGTGTAGCTCGGACATCTTCCTGGCGGTCCTCGCCGTCTTCTTCCCGCCCATTGCTGGTAAGCACGTCTCCGCCCTTGCAGTCGACCCTCTCCATCCGGTGTTTATTGTGAAATTATATGAACATGACCGCTGATCAACCTATCTTCCCCACAGTTTGGATCAAGGCGGGGATCTGCACCGCTGACTCCCTCATCAACATCGCCCTCTGCCTGCTAGGCTACATCCCGGGCCTCATTCATGCATGGTATATCATCATGAAATACCCCGAGCCCGACTACGACGACGTAGCCTACGAGCCCATCTCCGGCGGCTCCAGCCAGCGCCGCGATCTCGAGAACGGTCGCGTGACGTACTACTACGTCTCACACCAGCCTCTGCAGAACCCTACCCAGCGACAGTCCTACGGTACCGTCAACCAGCAAGGCCAGCAGGGGGACGCGCCTAAGCCGTCAGATGGCTCGCAGCAAGGTGCTGGAGCTAGCAGTGGCGAGGGACGGTCTGACACCCGACCGCCACCTACCTATGCCGAAGCTGTGAAGGGCGACAATAAGATCCAGTCTCAGAATTAGAGAGAGGCGGGATATTCTACTGGGACGGCGACTGCCTTTATTCGGTTCCTTTTCTTCGCGAGAGATCGCATTTGCTTGGCCTCTACATCGTAAAAGCTCCATCCGGCTTCAGTTGGAGTGGTTTCATTTTCATGACTTTGACGAAGGATATGTTCTTATAGTTTCCTTGACTTTTTTTGTCAGCACGCAACCCCATGTTTTAGCTTTGTTCTAGTAATCTTCAATGAATTTCTGTAAGTATACGTGAATATCTTTGGTCGTGGAGACGTAGGTGGAAGAAACCTCGACGAATCGGTTCATCGGATTGACCCTTGGCGGCCATGTATTTTATGCGACATTGACTGAACTAAATCTAATGTTTTCCATTAATTTTGATTCTGGTCGGAGGGATTGGTTTGAGGAAAGCTAGTTGTTAGAAAGTACCATCATATATGAGGAGGGTCCAGCTGCGGGTTGGCGAGCTGCCATCGGCAATATATATCGGAGAATCCAATGGGTCCTACTGGGAGGAACTCCATCCATTCATTAGAGGTAGCCATTGACCATTCAGGAACCAGGGCTAATCATGCCCGGAAGGGATACATTAAAAATACATTTTAACAAACAAAATCGAAAAACAAGGCTCCGAACTCAATGTCGAGTCTTTAACCTCGAAATTGGCCGATTTCCACCGCCCCATCTGATAAGCGCCAATCTGCTCCGAGACGATCCTCTTCCGGCCGGAAGGGAAACAGTGGACTCCAGCACTCCAACCGACAACACCTCCCCTCCAGGTCCTCGGCCCTGATATTGGCCATGCAGTCCATGCCATTGCTCCTGCGGCAATCGCTTCGGTCCAGCCTACAACTCACGCGCACAACCGCCCGACCAGTGCAAGTGCCTCATCTCCGCCCGACACCTCCGAGCGCTTTTCCCGCGAAGTCGACAACTCGGAGCTTCTCTGCCTGCCTTCAATGCCAGTTTCGACGGCTGCCGGGGTCATACTCCCCTATCGACGAGAAGGATAAGACAGCAGCGGAGATAGAGAAGATCGTTCAGGCTTCGAGGGAGGGTGTTGTGCCTGATGGTGTTCCCGGCACGGCTGCGGCTGCGGGGAGTCCTCGTGTGAGCTCCACGGAGACCGAGGTGCCTCCAGCAGCACAGACACAGACGAAGATAGATGATAAGATATTACTGGAGGGAAATGGGTCTGAGGGAGTGCAGGGAAAGGCGCAGAACACGAATGCTGAGGGCACGCAGAAAGGCGGGTTACCCTCTTACTTGGAGGACCGCCGGTCACAATTGTCGAAGCAATTCACAACGATGATGGATAACCTGCAATCCAATGTCTTCGTAGCTGGGCAGCGTCTGAATGACTTGACTGGCTACTCCGCCATTGAGACACTCAAAAAGGAGATACAAATACAAGGTAAGAATGCCAATCTACATGCCGTACAACATCCCGCACATTCACTAACGAACACTCCTCTTCTCCTTCTACAGAGGCCCGACTCCGTACAGCTCGTGCACATGTCCGCAAAGCCAAGGAAGACTACACATCTGCAATCAACAACCGCTCCACCTCCCAGCGCGAAGTCAACGAGCTTCTCCAGCGCAAGCACGCCTGGTCCCCAACAGACCTGGAGCGCTTCACCCTGCTTTACCGCAACGACCATACCAACGAGGTCGCCGAAACAGAAACGCAAGAGGCCCTGTCCCGCGCGGAACGTGAGGCGGAAGAGGCCGCCGCATCCTTGAATAAGAGCATTCTCTCCCGTTACCATGAAGAGCAGGTGTGGTCTGACAAAATCCGCCGGATGAGTACCTGGGGTACATGGGGTCTGATGGGTATGAACGTTCTGCTCTTCCTGGTCTTCCAGATTGCCGTTGAGCCCTGGCGGCGCCGCCGACTCGTCAAGGGTTTCGAGGATAAGGTCGTTGAAGCGCTGGAGAAGGAGAAGAGCCTGAACCGCCTTGAAGGTGGTGTTTCCTCGTCCGCTGCCTCGGCAAATCTCCCCGAAGTCATCGATTCTACTGTCGAGTCCTCGATTGCCTCGTTTGAGTCACCTACCGCAGAGACTGAGGAGCCTGCTGTTATACCCGTGGTTCCTGCGGCGGAAGCCTCACCTCTTCCCGAACCCATCGTTGAACAATCTCTCTACTCTCGTCTTGCTGGCATCACCTTGTCTCCAATGTCTCTTGAATATTGGCGGCAGGTCTTAGATGAACTCTTCAGTGAACGCGCCGTGGCCATCTCACAGCGTGATGTTACCGTGGCTGCTATGCAAAGTGCCGCAGCCGGTGCAGCCGTGGTGGGCCTGGTGATTGCTCTGGTGAGACCTCGGTAAATAGATAGCTCTCAATTGTGTATATGACAGACTATGGGATCAGCGGGACTGTATCTTTCCTCTAGAATCCCGATCTTGTCAATTCTTCACATACACCTATGAGCCATTTGGCCAATCATGTACAGACGGAGAGATAGATCGAAGTGAGTATCCAGACTCACATGTACTATATTTGAAATCATTTCCATTTTGTGAGCGCAAATCGTTATATAACGTCATGAACGGACGTCACACTATGACTACGAATAGAGATGTAGTGGATCTTCCATCTAATTAAGAAGCTGATTCTCAGAAGCACAAAGGAAATTTCATGACTAGGCAATACACGGGACGATATAAACACAAGTATGTACTCAAGAAGGCCGGCGGGATGAAGTCCTGCTCATAGCTGCTTTACAGCTAAGAACCAGAATGTCACTCCTGGAGGTCAACCTTGGAGACCGAGGACACAGGGGGGGAAAAAGAGGCTCATTTTTTGTCCATATTAAAACACGGTCTCTTAATCTTGACAAGACACACGGCCGCTCTGTCTAAAACAAAAGGAAAATAAAGATCACACAAGCACATACACAGACAAGATCGACCCAGTCCAGTCATCATCTTGACCACCCCATCCTCACCTTTCCCGGTCTAAAGAAACAAGTTTCCCACCATGATTGGCATAGGTGGGTTCTTTCGGGTTCTAACGGAATCAATCACGAGAGAGATAACGGAAGGGATTGGATTCGTTTAACCGATGACGAGAGTCTCGTCCTCGGGGAAGCTGTATTGGGGAACCTCGAGGTTCAGGGGAGCGGGACCCTTGCGGATACGGCCAGAGATATCGTAGTGGGAGCCGTGGCAGGGGCAGAACCAGCCGCCGTAGTCACCGGCCTCACCGATGGGCACACAACCCAAGTGGGTGCAGACACCCAGCATGACCAGCCATTCGGCGCGCTGCACACGCTCGTCATCGGACTGGGGGTCACGGAGGGACTCCCACTTGGTCTCGCGGGCCTCGGTGATCTCCTCCTGGGTGCGGTGGCGGATGAAAACGGGCTTACCACGCCACTTGATGATAACCTGGATAAGAGAGACGGATGTTAGGGATCATAGGACTTGAAGGCGAAAGGGGATTTCCGAGTGTTCGACGTACGTTCTTGCCCTCAGGGATGGCACCAAGAGCGATCTCGACCTTGGCCTGGGCGAGGACGTCGGCGGAGGCGGACATGTTGACGAGGAAGTCTGAGTAAGAAAGCACACGGTCAGTATGGAAGTTCCAAGCTATACCTTGTGCACAACCGTTTCCCTCATTCACTTCAATCATCCACAGATATTTCCATCCCATCCCCCCAAAAGAATATAAAGGTTTCACCTACCCTGAACAGTCGCCTTGGCGCCAACAGCGGTAGCCAGACCCATAGTACCGGCCATGAAGTAGGAGAAGACCTGGTTAGAGCGAGGAGCATTGCTGGACTGATATTTGCTGAAATTGGGGATCTTCAGGGTCGAGCCACGTTCCTTAGCGGTGGCGAAGGGGCTCTCGAACGAGGCCTTCGCATCGGCGACTCCCCTCCGCTGCTGGCAGGAGGTGACGGCGGCGCGGGAGGTGGACAGCTGCTGGCGGGCGCAAGTGCGCAGCAGAGTGCTGGAAGCGGAGGAGAGCGACATGGTGATGCAATTGACCACAGAGTGGGATGTTGGACCACAATTGCGTTGCGTCGAGTGGAGGGCGGGTGAGAAGAGGGAGGGAGTGGATGAAGTCGGAAGTCGAAGTTGGAGCCAGAGCTTTCGCTAGCGATCGGAATCACGGGGCCTGTCATTGGCTGAGCGGGTCCCCGGCTGAACTTCATTCTCGACCAACACTTCGGGGATCTATACATTTTGATACAAAGTTGATAAAAGTTGGATAATAATTCTACACAATTGTGAATTGGTTGGAAATTATCAATTCTCAATTTTTGAGCATGTTTGGACTCTTCCTCATGACCGAACCCGATGCGACCACAACCCAGAAAATAGCAAAATAGCACCAAACCGGGCAGGCAATTGAAAGCATGCCAGGAATACCATAAAACTCCAATGCAAAATGTAAAAAAGTATACAAGAGACCCGTGGAAATCAAATTCAAGACCATGTTTTCTCCAACTCAGTCCTTCATTTCAATGTCAGGGTCATTCCGCGCCGAATGATCAACCGTTCGGTCAGCGATCAGCGCGCTCACGGGGACCACGGGTGTGCGAGGAACTGATGGTGACAATATAGCCACTTCAGGCTGAGGTAGAGTAGATTCGGCAGAAGCGCCATTGGTGTTGCTGGGCACAGAGCTAGATCCGTTCAAAGTGCGCTGGCCCTTTTCCATCTCAGCGTGTTTAGCAGCATCCTTGGCCTTGTTTTCCTTGAACTGCTTGTACGTCGTAGTCTTAGGAATCACGTCGGAGAGGAATTCGAGGTTGTCAATGTGTGAGACTGCGGTAGCTGTTGCGTAAACGAGGGATCAGCATACAATCCGGTAAACGTCGGAGGAGTATCGATTGCAACCCACCCAGATCCTTGTATTGCACCGTCTTTCGCGGTTTCCGTTCTGACTTTACCACATTGTGTCCCTGCTCGGCGAGATACTGAATGAACATCTCCTGTAGGTGCGTTAGTCGGCGCAAAAAGTAAGTGTAGTTGAGGGGAGCATAGGGCGCACAGTAGCCATGGCGATCACAAAGGTCGCGTTGTTGGAACATTGTACAATATCGTCGTCAAGCTGGACGATCTTCTTGATACGGGAGACTGGGAACTAGTTAGTCGTTTGCTGGCATCGTCTTCCGTGGAGAGATTGTACGTACTTGGAAGGGCACTCTGTCCGGTGATCTCTTCCGGCTCAGCAACATTCTTTGGAGACATAGTTAGGGTTGTTGCGCAAGACCAGGTCGGGTATGATTTTCGGTAGCCGTAGAGACAGCTGTAGGGAGTGCTTGTCGCAGTAAAGGTAGGCGTTTTCTCGGTTAAACTGTCCTGGTGGCGCGAGTGTCGAGTCAAGAAAGTTAAACGCGTGGGCGCGGCGTTATCTCAGCACGGCTCCGTTATCGATACTTGGCGCAGACGTAGCCCTTGACACCTCGACTCTCCGTCTCGTTCCACCACAGGATTATTTGCAGCGACTAGATTATTACAGAAGCTGAACGCCCATTGGAAACTCCCGATATAGCGCTAGCTAGAGCCTATTTTTTGACCTGCGCACACAGCGTGAACCTGCGATCCCCCTGCCGCGGTGGAAAAGCATCATCGAGACAGCTCCAATCCAACTATGCTGATTCCACCGCCCGGGTCGATGCTATGACCTCGACACGCCCCTCCTCGACATTTTCACGGTCGCCCTCGATTGTCGCCGAGCGCCGTGACCTGCGCAGACTATCTGGCCGTTCTTTATCCTCTCCAGTCGACCCCGAACCTGCCTCCGACGCTCAAGACGCCCAGGCCCCCGCGATCACCGATGAGATCAGCGAGATTAAGCGCTATGAAGACTTCACAACCATTGACTGGGTCCAAGATGCGGTCAATGAACAGAACGCTCGAAGAGCCAAGCGGCGGAGTGGCGGGGGCTTCTGGGACCAAGAAGGTGTCTTTGGCTGGCGACGGAAAGTGCGCGAGTCTTATGATGCTGGGCAAGCGTGGCTTGTGGTGACACTTGTCGGCATGGCCATTGGTCTGAATTCGGCCTTCCTCAACATTATCACCGAGTGGTTGTCGGATATCAAGTTGGGACGCTGCACGACGGCATTCTACCTGAACGAACAGTTCTGCTGTTGGGGTGCTGAAGGTGGTATGTTGAGCTTCCCTTGACTACTGCACCTCCCGAATGTTTCTGTCTGACCGGAGAAATATGCATAGGATGTCCCGAATGGAAACCATGGACTTCATGGTGGCTGATCAACTACATTGTTTATTTCTTTTTCGCGGTAAGTTCACTTTGTGCCGCAGAGGAAGAAGACTTACGCTGAGATACGGTTAGGTTTTACTTGCATTTGTTGCTGCAATTCTCGTCAAAACTTTTGCTCCATATGCTGCAGGATCCGGTATCTCTGAGATCAAATGCATTATAGCTGGTTTCGTCATGAAGGGCTTCTTGGGAGCTTGGACACTCCTCATCAAGTCAATTGCATTGCCACTGGCTATTGCATCTGGCCTCTCCGTGGGCAAGGAAGGGCCTAGCGTTCATTTTGCCGTGTGTACAGGAAACGTGATATCACGCTTCTTCGGTAAATACAAGCAGAACGCGTCGAAGACGAGAGAAATCTTGACTGCATCAGCTGCCGCTGGTGTGGCTGTGGCTTTTGGTAGCCCCATTGGGGGTGTGCTGTTTTCATTAGAGGTAATTTCAACACCACGGTGGCTAATAGGACCCGCATGCTAATGATAAATAGGAAATGGCCAATTATTTCCCACTCAAGACTCTCTGGCGCAGTTATTTCTGTGCCTTGGTGGCAACCAGTGTACTGGCGGTACGTTATTGCTGTCCATATCCTGCCCCTCGGGCGTATTGCTGATATTTGTAGGCCTTGAATCCATTCAGAACGGGTCAACTGGTCATGTTCCAAGTTACATATGATCGTACATGGCACTTTTTTGAGCTGATTTTCTTCGTTTTCCTTGGTGTCTTTGGTGGTCTATATGGCGCATTCGTGATGAAGTGGAACCTGCGAGTAGCAGCTTTCCGCAAGAAGTACCTCTTTCAGTGGCCCATTACCGAGTCAGTGGTTCTCGCTGCCCTTACAGCCATCCTATGCTATCCGAACATGTTCTTGAAGATTAATATGACTGAGATGATGGAGATCTTGTTCCACGAATGTGAAGGCGGACACGATTATAATGGAGTTTGCGAGTATGTGCCACCTCTCCCCCGGCTGATCCCTACGTAGGGGACTGACATCTTCCTATAGGACTAAAAATCGCTGGTCGATTGTACTGTCGTTAGCTATTGCTACGATTCTGCGTACTGGACTGGTGATTATTTCATATGGCTGCAAAATCCCGGCTGGTATTTTCGTCCCATCTATGGCTGTTGGGGCATCGTTCGGCCGCATGGTTGGAATCATGGTGCAGGCACTTCATGAATCCTTCCCTAACTCTGCATTCTTTGCCTCGTGCGATCCCGATGTCCCTTGTATCACACCTGGTACATACGCTTTCTTGGGTGCCGGCGCAGCCCTAAGTGGAATCATGCACCTTACTATTTCGGTGACCGTCATCATGTTCGAGTTAACGGGTGCCCTGACCTATATTTTGCCGACCATGGTAAGTTACTTTGTAATGAACTCGTTTAAACACAAAGTGATAGCTAACCTTCGGTGTTAGATTGTGGTCGGTGTGACCAAAGCTGTTGGAGATCGATTTGGAAACGGTGGTATCGCCGATCGAATGATCTGGTTCAACGGGTTTCCATTCCTGGACAACAAGGAAGACCATGTCTTCAATGTCCCCGTGTCGCATGCAATGACGACAGATCCACTCACCCTACCCGCATCTGACTTCCCCGTTCGCGAGGCAGAGCATCTTCTGAGCGACAACAAGTTCCAGGGGTTCCCCATCGTGGAAGACCGCAGCACCAAGACTTTAGTTGGCTATATCGGACGTACCGAACTACGCTATGCCATTGACCGTGCCCGCAGCCAGGGTCTGGTATCACCCCGAGCACGCTGTGTATTCACTCAAGAAGCTGCCGAAGCAACCGTCGCACAACGAGCATCTGGTTCACAGCATCTTAGAGCTCCGGACACGTTTGACGGAATCCAGGCTAGTGTAGGCGCTGGCGTTGTTGATTTCTCGCGGTATGTGGACCACACACCGTTGACTGTGCACCCGCGTCTTCCGCTCGAGACCGTCATGGAAATCTTCAAGAAGATGGGTCCTCGGATCATTCTCGTTGAGCACCGTGGCCGTCTGACGGGTCTGGTTACCGTCAAAGACTGCTTGAAGTATCAGTTCAAGGTGGAAGCCGAAGAGCATGCACTGGCAGCCACCGGTACGTCCGAGTTTGGTTCCGCTCCGCTAGGCGGCCACTTGAGTACTCCTGCCCCGGAGACGTTGGAGGACCGGCTGTGGCGGCTTATCCTCACGGTTGCTGGGTTCGTTAGTGGGTCGATCAGGGCTCATCGGCCAGTGCGTCTGCAGAGCCGCTCTCGTCCTGGGCAGCCATCAGAGCCCGAGGGTATTTTGGATGGCACTGAGGATGATGCGTTCGTGGAATTGGAGGAGAGAGAAGATCCCCCTCGGGGTCGTTAGAGATGTAACAATCATGTCATATAGGATGATAGAGGTGTTTTGGTCATGTACAGTCTTGATGTTAAGGTTGCTTGATTCATGTGCCGTTCCAGCCAGCACACTGAGCTATGTGTCTTTCCGTATGTTTTGCGCTTAGCTTCAGGATATCAGACGCATACACCTCTTGTCTATACAGACCTCAAGGTCCAGAATATCGGCCCATCCCTGAACCACCAGAGATCTGATATCAAGACAAGATAAGGTTCTATGTAACAATCTATGAATCAGAGCTCCCTGATATATCCAGTCTAATCCAAAAAAACAACGATTAAGCCTCCTCCCGCATCCCAACTAAGATACAACCTGCCCCCATCATCGCAGCTCCAAGCCACCACAGCCCACCAACCGACTCCTTGAATATGACCATGCCCAACAGGGCTGTCATCAAGAAGTTGGCCGAGGTATTTGTGATAGAAACTTTCGTCGTGGAGGGACCGGCAGTCAGGGCACGGGTGAAGAGGGCCCACATAATGATGTTGCAGAGGACGTTGAGGCCGAGGCAGAGCTATGTAAATACAGGATTAGTGTTTGGAATTTTGATCACGCGAGGGGAATTCTGAGGGTGAATATGATTGACGTGTATAGGAAGCGAAGGAGGCAGGGAGGGAGACGACACGTACGCCGCGGACGAGGAGCTCTAGGAAACTGGAGGACTCGAGACCGAATAGATGGGCGATGGAATGCGCGAATGCACTGGTATGAGTATCCGTTGTTCTAGCGAGTATAAGTTGGTATCAATAATATCAAGAGTCACTGCCTCCGCAATTGTGTCGGTTGGTAGCTTACAGCTTTGCGAAGAGGCCGTTCAGGGCCGCGAATGCGCCGCTAGCCACTGCGATGAGAATCCATGAGGTGCCCTTCGAAGGTTGTGTTTGTGTGCTGGAGGAAGACATCGTAGAGCTTATGTATATTATATAAAGTCGTCTCACGGCCGTACGGTTGGACAGAATGTCGAGATTAAGTCGAGAACCTGGGTTACCCCCTCGGCTGGAGAAGGCCGCGAGTGAGTGCCAAGGCCCGATAAGATAGTGGTGATCGACCTTCCACACGGAGTATAAATGTATTGAAGCAGCGAGACTATTAAGAAAAGTAACTCATTCGCTAACTCTTGTGAAATCTATCATATTGGAATTTCATGGCGAAAGTCTCTGCAACCGCCATTGGAACTCCTCACCCTCACTCTCGACACGAACATACCGGAACCGATCGTGCAATCGACTCCGACGGCCCTGCCAGAACTCAACCGACTCCGGCACCAGACGAACACCACCCCAGAAAGGAGGCAGGGGAATCTCCTTGACACCCGCGAACCGCTCCTCCACCTCCCTGACACGCTGCTCAAGCAATGCCCGACCGTCATCGATATCGGTCAAGTCGATATCGGCAGGGACATCAGCGCCAGGTACAGATCCCGCCGACGCCTGCAACTTAGCCACGCTCTGGCGCCGCTGGCGCGCCGCCAGCTGAGTCGGCTCAGCGGACCAGAGGACACGGCTCTGCCAACTAGCCCAAGCGCCGATTTGACTGCCACGCTCTCGCGTGCGCCAGTACAGTTCGCTCTCCTCCCGACCCAGCGGCTCCAACATACCCTCCACCCGAACCTGTCGCTCCGTTGTCGACCAGCTAAAAGTCAACGCGCCCCATTTATTGCCCGCTCCGGGTCCGTCTTGTGTCTCGCTACCGGGTTCGGGAATTGGGCCTGGTGCATTTTCGCCCTCTGCTGCCGCCCGTCGTCCGAATACCTGCCCGCCCTTGCCCTCCCGACTACCCCAGTTACTATACACCACCCACCCACGCTCGTCAAGTTCCTTGAGATAGACACTCCGCGCGCTGATCCGGCCAGAGGGAAGCTCGGCCGTCGCGAGCGTGCACGTCTCGGGCGCCGAGCTCGCTGGCAACCGCGGGTCACGGAACCAGGTGTTGAATTGATGAAGTGGGTTGGTGCCGTGGAGTTGGGATACCGTGAGGGGAGGGTTGGTCACGAATTGGTGTGCTCGTGCCGCATGAGATAGGATCTGACTTTCGGTCGTGGAGCTGGGCGTCGAGGTTTCAGAGCGGAGGGCTTCGCCTTGGACTAGGCGGGTGGGAATTGGGCCAGGTGTTTGTGTCGGGGGAGTAGCGGGACTTGGGGACTCGGCTCCTGCTTCAATGTCTCCGGGGGCGACTGTGAGGTGGAATTGGAGTTAGCCTGTCGCTCTGCAGCTGTAGCTCGTAGCCCCGTAGCCCCGTAGCCCCGTAGCTAGGTGGGAAGTTCCTCGCGAGGTGGGAGGTTCCCCGCGAAGGAGCGTGTTGCCAGTGGTCGTGTGTCACCAAGGTCCTTTGGGTATATCTGACGTACAGATGAGCTTCTTTGGCCGATGCACAGTGGCATCCGATCCAGCTTCGTGGTGAGACATGTCTGGCCTGTATGCGCACGAGGGTGTGGTCGTCAAGAAACGAAGGTGGGGTGGTTTGGAAGTGATTCGGAAGCCGATGTGGAGCAATGAGTCAAGGGTGACGGGTGCAGCAGGCACGGCAATGCGGGTGAACATCAAACTAGGTGGTACGACAATAGCACTGCAAGCTTGGAGTGGCTGGAGGCTTAGGGATCTTTGGAGGAAAGGGCAGCAGAGGAGCCGTGGAAAGGTAGCTGAAGATAAAAGTAGCGTTTCTCCAGATCGCAGATCGTACCGCGATTGCTTCCGAGACGTCATGCCACACCCCCCCCCCCCACCAAATCGTCAACTAAATAATTCACTTTTGCTTCATCCCTCTTCTGGCAAGATGATTGTACAGTACCTACCTCTAGACAAAACCTAGTGTACGATCCTTTTTTTAGATTTGATAAGTCGCTACCATACTTACTCGGAGGACCTAGTTGTGCAAATCCATAGTGCATCTGAGCTCGTCCGTATCTCGGTTGCCAGATCAGATTTACCTCTCTACTTGTCATAGTAAAAGACCTACACAAAACTGTTAAATCTCAACTAATGTCAAACACTGTGGGGAGATCGGGCAAAGCTATGGCCAGTGAATGTAGTCGGCGCTGTGGAGAATGACCGGGCGCTGTCCGAGGGGGTCACCGTTCATTAGTGGGCCTGGGAACTACGACTTGGTATATACTCCGTACAAAATAGTGTTAGTGATAAATGTTGATGTAGAGAAAATGCAATATATGGAGGTTTTCATGATTGGAAGCTAGACATCGCTACCACTCGAGATAAGTAAATGTCACTAGCTAGGAAAAAGGAAATCCCGTGACAAGATCTACTCAAATTTAGTTGGTTCTGCTCGTTAATGGCAACAGGCATGTGTATACCTTCGATCGGGTGCTCATAACCTAAACTCTTTGGACATAATTTCGACCCAGATAATAATGATCTAGTCCCAATTCGGGCATTGAACCGAGAAAGTGTCAATCACGGGGATCTTTCGATTGAGGCTGCAGCTGGCCGAGTATACCGAAAGAACTAATCCCAAAGAAGGTATCTCGGTGCGACTTTGGCTGGGCGTGCCGCGTGGCTGTTCTGAAGCGGGCACTTGAATGCGAATTACACGAGATGGGCCCTCCCTATCCAAGAACATAGAGATGAATGTGATACAAGAATAGATGTATTAAGCAATTTAGAGTATAAAGTGCGATGTTTTGAGCCCCGCACTGCTCTTGTGAGCCCCGCTCTGCGACAGCATCAGGGGCGTCCAAGGTGCTATAACAATTACCAGGCAGCGGTCTTAATCGAAAAGTTTTACTTCCAACGTTCTCCTCGTAGACGGAGCTCGTTCTAACACAAAGATAATCAAGGTTATTACTGGGCCACGTCAAAGTCAACGCTGTACACAACACGATCATGGGTGATGGCGGTGAAGGCTCGTCCAAGTCACTATTAATTTTTCCCTCAAGTCTGCATTTTTGGATTTGACTTCTTTAAACCTAAACAGACATTGTTGCTGAATCTCATATATGAAGGTTAGTTTGGACAGTCAGGGTTTCTCCTTCACCTATCAACCATTTTCACCCGCGAACGTTCGTATGTCTATGATATTGCATGACAGTTTGCTGATTAAGGATTCCATCAACATAGGTATCAGTGTAAAAACCATCCACTATGGTTGATTAAGGTATTTGACCTTCAATATACTTTGCTTCGATTCAATATGCAGAAGAAACCTGCAGCGGCAAAGCACTCGATGCAAGACTCAACCATCGAATTTCGGAAGTTCTGATAAACGACTCTACCAGCACGAGGAAAGAAGACGAGCCGGAGAGATGTCCTTTTTCCAATTAGCTCTTTGCTACAGGGATCTGGGATGCACATTTTGCTTCGAATTTCATCCTACGAGACGGGTCTTGACAGCATTCTCGCTCAATTGCTACTACGGTCGATACGCTAACAAAAGTCAAGTTGCTTACATTCTATAGAGCGTCCGTGTAGGTATCGAGACGTCCAGATATAACATCAGATGTGCATAGTGCGAGTGGCGTGGTTAGATTCTTCAAGTCTGGCTTCCACAGTGAAGCATAGACGACATGAGCCATTGACAATTGCAGGAAGGGAAGATCATGCCCTCCTTCGAAGCCAATGTAGGTAGGATCCTTTTCCAAATGCCTGTGCCCAGTTTTCAAACATGCCCACATACTCGATCTTTTCATAGCTAACAATCCCAGTATGCCTGGCTTGCCGTGGTTATTCAAGACCTCCTGGGTGTTTCCTCCGGGTCAACTGGCGTCCAGATCCCCCACTGCGGGCCCAATGGCCTTCATCAAACATCTGGGGTTTGCAATCATTCTCCTCCTCTCAATCATACGATGATGAACTTGGGCCCTTGAACGAACGGATGCTGAAGCGACGAACAACCTTCACCGGGCTCATTACATCAGCGAGGCGTTCAACAAACCAATGAACGAAGCGTCCCTGTTTTTGGGGCATCGTGAGGGCTTAGGATCGTCCCGCCCGCCGGAGGATGATTGGCCCTGCCACTCCACTTCTTCATCTCGCCCTCGGGTGATCCCCCCAACCCCACTTTCTCCGGGTCCAGAAAGTCTCCCTATTTCCGAACATTTCTATCCTCTCCTCCTTGCGTAGCGCCTCCACGACCGCGCACGATGAGCTCCATCAGACCGCATGAGAAGCTCCGATCGGGCTGCGTCGAATGTAAGCGACGCAAGATCAAGGTATGTTTGCTTCTCTGCTGGTCGCGCTGGCAGCTGCCCGCGGCCCACTGCTTAGAAATGTCGCAACTCCGTGCTGATGGTGCTAATCTGATTAATAATTCAGTGTGATGAAACGAAACCAATCTGTAATCGCTGTGAAAAGCGACCCGACAAGTGCAAATATGAATTCAAACTTTGCTGGACGGAAGGAAGGCCGTTCAAGAATAAAAATCGCCAGAAAGACAAGGCTCGACAGCAACAAGCATCCCAAGATGCACAACCGAGCGCCTCGGGGAGTGCTCGTGAGTGGCAGTCCGAGCCTACGATACGTCCAGCAAAGCCTCCTGGAGAGAGCGATGTAGGGCTAGTCAGCGGTCGTGCCACTGGAGTGCAAGATAATTCGGCCGAGGACGACATTGACCGCCGGGCGTCACTGGCCCTGTCCGTGAGTACGTGCTCGGATTACTCGGTGGCTACTCCGCGGACAGCGAGCTTCAGTTGGGTAGATCAATCCAATTCCTATGCATATCAACAAGATCCCGCTGGGATGAGCTGGCATCATTGGCAACCCGTCAACACACAAGGCCAACAAAAACAGCCCCCTCCGCCCGTGTTTCAATATCAATGGCAGGTCCCTCGGACCATATCAACCACGGCATCACCTATTATGTCATCACCCGAGAGTCGATTCTTTCTACATCACTATATCACCAATACGGCGGGCGTTATTTTCCCTCTTTCGCTCAAGGCCAACCCGCTTAGCGAGTCCCTTCTTCAATCCGCCATGAACTCCTCACATCTCTTATATGCATTCCTCGCGTGCTCCGGCTCTCACTACATCAGCCTTCGAGGAGATTCAACGGGAGAAATGTCCAAGAGTGTCACAAAATTTACCAACGCGGCCCTGAACGGGCTACGCAAGGCCATGGTCGATCCAAACCAGGCCGGTCAACTAAGCACACTAACCACAGCACTTGCACTATGCACATCTGATGTTATATCTGGGGGGATGAATACCTGGAGAATCCACCTATCGGGGGCCAGTAACCTGGTCGCGTCCGTCTTTGAACTTCAAAGCAACGATGATTCAATCAGCACCCAAGACCCAACGAAGCTTTTCCTGATCAAATGGTTTACACTTCTCGATATCTTCGCCGGCGTCGGCGGGCTTCGGAAGAGTGCCAACGCCGGAAGCTATTGGTCACTGCCCACGTCCAACGACACGGGCGGCTACATTGATGAGTGGACCGGGTATTCGCTGGACTTGATCCCGATTATGTCAGAGATCGGAAAGTTGGCCCGAATACAACGAAAACGATCCAAAATCATGTCTCTCAACGATGACGAATCTGAAGACGAAGCAGCCAACCAACAAGCTCGTCTGGATACGGCGGAAGATGTCCAGCGCATCGAGAACCAAATCTATGCACTTTATGACCGCACGACACATCCAGACCTAGAGTCCAACCCAACTTTGAAGATGACGGCGCAAGAAATGCGATATATTCATCGAATCTTCCTGCACACTAATCTTCTCCATCTCTATCGTCGTGTGCAATGGTTGCCAAAAGAGCATGCCAAACCAGCTCATGCGATTCACATGGTCATCGAGCTGCTGCTCAAGATCAGGCCAACGTCCATGGCGAATATTCTCTGTCTTTGGCCCGTTTTCACAGTCGGCTGCGAAACTGAAGATCCGACTCACCGGAAGATCCTCAAAGATCGACTCGCGAATATGGAGGCGTTCGGGATGGGTAATGTGCAGAGTGCCCGGAAGGCAATGGTGGAGTACTGGGAATGTCATGTCAAGGAGAGATGGGATATTTGGCTGGAAGATCGTGGTTTTGATCTGAGTCTTTTCTGAAGGCATTTATTCTTGCCTTGTTTTTTTCGGGACAATTTTTGCGAGCGAGGGAATTCTTTAGCGGGATATATGAAATGATTTATGACCTAGATATATATGAATCATTTTCTGCCACTCTCGCAGATAGATGATACGAAAGTGCTACGGGGCTATTTTTTTTATACATTTTGATACATACTCCCCCTCGGTGGGACATCAGGATTTCTCCTTTGCCGTCAACTGCACGGAACCTCTTTCAACATGTTGCTCTCCATGCACCGTTGGAGCCCTTCCCAATCCCTCAAGAGCTTCCTGGGTCTCACCGGACAACTTGGGCCCTTTGTACGACCTCTTGCCACCAATGAACCACCAGATAACGACCAAAATGGCCATTCCATAGGAGACCAGCGAAGTATAGTTCATCGACTTAGCGGTTACCGGCGGCCGGTTATACGGCAGGCAGAAGAACACGTTGGAAACCAGGATATAGACAATGGCAACGCCATTAATGAAGAAGCCGAGAAGTCCGTCGCCGAGATGGAACCATCCCGGCGCGACTCGCTTGCGACCAGTAAAGAGGTGGACACCAATGGCGAAGCCGAAGGAGGTGGTGGACATGACTGCGTAAGATGCAACGAGGGCGTTGAAGGCGGTCGTGGACGCGACATATAGGGCGCCCAGAGCGGTGGTGATGACGGCTAGAACGGAAGAAAGAGTTAGCAATTTCAGTACGTTTACACCAAGGGAGGATTATCGTACCGATCAGGATGTTGGCTCTGGCTGGCATCACACTGCGCTCGTCAATCTTTGAGAAGAAGTTGGAGAACGGGAGTGCGCCGTCACGCGCAAAGGCCCAGATGCATCTGACGGCAACGATTTGGAAACCGACTTGACCTGTCAGAGAGGCAATGAAGATAATCAAGCCACATCCAAAGGCTGCGTTCGTGTTATCGAACGACTGGGCCATGATGCTGGCGACGGGGTAATTGGGCTGCGAGTTCAAGATGGCGTCCAGAGAGCCCGCCGAGTAGAAGATGGCAATCAGGACGATGAAGCCCCTATATTTTCGTTAGTATATTGCAGGGGGCTCGATCACGGTAAGCGCTTACATTGAGAATGATCCGAACCATTGGACTAGAATAGTCTTGGGAATATTCTTCGATGGATTCGGGACCTCCTCTGCCATATGCGTGGAGCTGTCGATCGTTCCAATGGCAAAGGCTGGACCTACGAGACCCAGAATGAAGCTCACGCCCGTGGGCCAGCCGGTCATGTTGGTATATTCCTTCCAGACGAATGAGTTGGTGGAGTGCGTTTTTGGAAGAGCGGCGATGCAAATCACGACGACGAACCACACGCCCAAGTTAACGAATACTATCACAATTGATCAGCGTAAGGAGCTCATGATTTTGGAAGGTGGGCAATACGTACGGCCAACTTTGGTATACAAGGGCAAGATCTTGTTACCAAACTGGACGAACAAGGCCGCCGACCAGGTGAGCACGACGAATACGACAAATACGTGCCATGGCTGACTAGTGTAATCTGGATGCCACAGCTGATACAGGCCGGTGACTTCCAGACCGGCGACCGAGTATAGCGAGGCGAGACCCAGTGTATATCCCAGGACGTTGAAGTATCCCGTCAGAAAGCCGATAGGCTTGGCGAACCGCGGCCCGGCCAAAGCTGCAGACCAGTGATAAACGCCGGCGGAGGTGGGCATGGCCGACGTCAGCTCAGCCATGGAAAGAGCGACAAAGAGGAAGAAGAAGTTATCGACGATCCTATCGTGTTGACAGACATTTGTTTAGTACATGCTCTTATGTAGGAGGGCTTGATTGCACGAGCGACCGACAACGGACAACTGGTGACCATCTTTTTTTTACATACCATGCATACAGCAAACCAGAAGCGCCGCCATTATAGATTGATGTAATTATAGAGCCGATCATCGCAGTCTACGGATGATCGGAAATCAGTATAGAGGAACTGGGTCCCTTCGCCAGTGGAGCCAACCATACCCAAGCACTGGCGGTAATGACCGCGTTGGCGGCCATGGAGAAAAAGGAGAATTGGCGCTTGAGCTCCTGTTTGTAGCCGAGCGCGGCCAGAAGGGCCGCATCATCCTGAATCTCCTGGACACTTGAAGACATCGTGAGGGAGATAGAGGCGTGGGCCTCGGGTGGAGTAGGGGTGGTGGATGATGAAGCTTAAGAGAACGCCTCCTTTGAAAACACGCTCCACGATAATATAAGGAAACAATGGCATTGACCATGTAAGGCCGTGAAGAATCGGCAAGGAACGAATTAAAGTCGGGGGTTCGGTTTTGGTCCCCCCTGAAGACTGGAGGGAGTACTGTACTACGGACTAGTTTGGGTTAGAGTACTACCCTAGAAATCGGGACGACTTTTGCATAGTTTGTTCTAAGTTAGAGTACGATGGACTGACTAAGGAGTACTTCGACTGGAATTCGCGTTTGAATTGGTCGTACTTTTGTTCGCACCGAAGTACCAATCGGGGTCTAGTCTCTCCACATCCCTGCCCCTCTCTCGCTGAGCACGCACCGTTCTCGATCGCTCCGAATTAACCAAAGTAGCACGTAGTGCAGCAGAACGACCATTGAATAACGGCCTCGCGTTCCAATGCAGGTTGACCGTTCATCCTCTGATCCACTCTCCACCGTACAAAAAAGCCACTCGACGTTCAAATATATATCCGCTTCGTAGACTTCCAGATCCCATCTCTAGCTCAGTGCGTTCTTGTATAAATAGCGGGGAAACCACCCAGATTGTCGGGTTCGAAACTATTCCTTCTCAGCGTGGCACCGAACCCAGAAAATACAATGGCCATCGTGAAAAAGATCAAGGAACCAACGACTGCTGTACAGGTTGCTGCCAGCCAAGCTGGCGCAACCCCAGAGGATCCAATCGATGCCCTCATCATTGGAGCTGGTCCATCCGGTAGGACAAATGATCCGCGAAAACCAAGAAGTTTCGATTTATTAACAACATTCCTAAGGGATGATCTGTCTGCGGAATCTTCTGAGAGATCAACCGCCACTCTCCGCGATTATAGTCGAACGCCAAGCAGTTCCCGGCGGCATTTGGACGGGCCATATCCCCGCATACTCGACCCTGCAGGATCTTGTTTGCGAATATGAAGTTCACGGTGTCAAATTTCCCCGACGAGAGCCCCAGAGACGTGCAACGAGAGACCAGGTCGCCGAGTTTTGTGACGCCTATTTCAAAGAGTTCGATCTACACGACCATGTTATCTGGGAGCACGATGTGGCCCACGTCGAGATGGTCAAGCCTATGTTGCACAAAGTCGACATTCGCCCTTTCGTAAAAGAAGGCGAGGCCCCTCCAGGTCAAACAGTCTATACAAGGAGTGTGCTTGTCTGCACGTAAGAGGACCTGATTAATACTCATCGGCACTGGATGATACTGACGGTTCTAGTGGTCATAATATGGAACCCTATATGCCCAAATTCCCCGGCCAAGAAACGGCAAAGTTTCCTATCAAGCATAATAACAACATTCGCGACGCAACTGAATTGCCGGATTCTGATATTGTCGTCATTGGTGCTGGTCCCTCGGCTATGGACATCGTTCAAGAAGCTTGTGTTACGCAAGGTGCGAAGAATGTCCATCTGGTAGCACGTTCTCCTCACTGGTAAGCTGTCCGCATACAAGGCCCATGGCCCATGCCATCTATTATGATGACAGTAAGGAACTAACTAGAACAATAGGGGAGCGCCTGATTTGTGGTGGCCTTGGCTATGGCAACTCGGATGGACGGAGCTGCATCTCATGCGCGTGCTCTATCGCCGATTGCCCATTTTCGTCGTTGATGCCATCTTTTGGCTTATCCATCTTGTCTGGGCAGTCTTCCATGGCGTCCCAGAGTGGAGGCCTCCTACCCGTAAGCAAAGACATCTCGTTATCGGATGATATCAACTAATGATGATAATATCATTCCAGACGAAGGACCCTCTGCAAAGGTTGGCCTCATCCTGCGGTCACATCTTGTAAAGCCCTATCACAACGGACAATTCCGTATCCACGACAAGTGCGGAATCAAAGAAATTGACGGGGACAAAGTGATCCTCACCAACGGCACGGCCTTGTACCCGCGAATGCTGGTAGCTGCAACAGGCTGGTCAACCGAGTCCGCATATCTCCCCGAGGGATCCCCAGCCGGTGAATACGATTCTCTGGCCGCCGCAGACGCACCGCGACCTCTATACCTCCGATTCTACGACCAGGACTATCCTGGGATTTTCTACATCTCCGTGTCGGCTGGCTTTATCACCTACACGGAGAGCGCCTCTTTCCTCAGCCAGGCTATTGGCCAGATTCTACGTGGGACCTGGACTCCTCCATCCGAGGAGGAAATCAAGAAGAATTTGAAAGAAGTCGTTTTGCACCATATCTGCCTCCCTGGTCTCATTGAGGAGGATCTTACTGCGGCAGGTTTCAAGGACCTGCGTGGTAAGAATGTGCGCTGAACGATAGCAGCTGCACCATCTGGCGGATAGGCACTCTCTTTTCCTATCTACTACTCGTCGAGATTTGGAGTTTGGAGGAGCTTTGCATTCATCCTTGGCTTTGAGAGGTCCAGGGCTTGGACTAATTACATTGCAATTGAGATAATGAGACATGACGAAATTTGGAAATGAGCAGTCGAAGACATTCCTTACGCTTGTAAAAATTCTCCCCATTCAAGGATTAGTTTGCATAAGCGAGAATATAGAATATGAAGATTGTTCCCTGCCTTTTTTTCATCTAGGGCTTGATTGTGAGTGGGAAGCAAACCCCCAAGCTTAAAACTGAGTGGAAGCTGTCAAGTACGATTGCTTTTCACTAGACGCACTGGACATTCCATCAAGTCTGCGCTAATAGTATTCTATATTAGAATCCACTAAACACGTGAGATGGTATACTGATTTATCAAGAATCTTCAGAGCCTCTAGAACTTGGGTACATTTGTGAAGTCATCATGTCGTGGCCCGACCAGCCCTCTACGATCCCGTAAACTATGCCACGGTTCCCCTGCCGGTCATTCCAGGTTTACCCCGATCTTAAATCGAACACCGGAAATGACGTTAGCTAGGGTCACTGATACTTAAGTCTCCTATAAATGAGCTTAAACACCCAGCACAAGTATTTGAATAATCCGACGTGCCACCCTAAAGATTGTGCTTTATAACTCGTTGCCAATCACCCAATCACCCAGTCATCCACTCTAAGCATGCTGAGATATCAAAATATCACATTCGGAGGCCCTCTCCTGCGTTATTTCGTATCTGGCTCTGGACGGCCTCTACCATCGAGCTCTGCTACAACCACACGGCATCTCAGCCGAGCACTCTACTCTACCCAGGGATATGGAGATGGAAAAGGCGATCCCATCGGGGAAGATCCAATGAAACAAGGCGTGAGCGGACGTACTCGCGAGCTGGAGCACTCAGGACCCGAACAGGCCAAAAAGAAGGACAGTGGTCAGCAACGAGGATCCTCTAATACTTCGAAGAAGAGCTCGGAGCGCTCGTCAAATGTTCCACCTCGGTCGGCGAAGGAAGAACTCGAGAATGAGAGGGCTACGGGAAAAGGGCAATAGCGATGTATATATCCGGTCGTTTTATATGAGAGATTCTTCGTCCTTGTCATGCCTTTTAGGCAAATCTGTACAATTGTGATTGTTTCGGTCTAATATTCCTTTAGATTAGCACGAATCCAAGAAGGTCATAGCTATCATACCCTATCATCCGTTCTTGTATTTGGGTTCAATCTTTATACAGCCATTGTACAGCAATTAAGCGCTAATCATTCTCAAAAATCGATCCCCGAGTGCGTTCGCAGCCAACGGATTCCCCCCCGTAACCAACTCACGATGCAGCGTCGTTCCTCCAACCTTCTCCGGAGCGCCTTCCATCATCACAGCACCTTCCTTCCTCAAAGCCGACTCGACCTTTTCAATCTCGCCGCCCAACATAGTCTCCATCACCTTTTCCTCCGCGTCACTCCAACAAGTAATCTTGTACCCGGAATACACAAACGAGCCATCCCCCGCCTGCTTCGTGCTCAGAAGTGCATACGGTCCATGACAAATAGCCGCCGTGGGTTTATTCTCGCGATGAAAGTATCTCAGTATCCGTCCCAACTCCGGATCCGCGCCCAAGTCTTTTAAAGGAGCATGGCCCCCCGGGATAAAGACGCCCGCGAACGTTTCCAATTCCTCGTCACTGATAGAGCTGAATGGTCGAGGACTGCTGAAACCATTCTCTTTCTTCAATCTTTCGATAAGCTCGCGCTCGCGACGTCGTTCGTAGAAATTGCCTGCAAATGCGAGAAGACTGTCGCTGTTCGGATCGGCGGTTGGTTCGTGGCCCTTGGGCGAGGCGAAGGTGACTTCGTGGCCGGCGTCGAGGAGTTTTTGTAGGGGTTTTGCGAGTTCTTGGAGGAAGAAGCCGGACGGATGCTCGACTGTTTGACCACTATTAGACCCGCTGGTCATTTTGATGGGGAAGGAGTCTGCATCGCTGAGGATGATCAGAATCTTCTTGGTTTTCATTTTGCGTGTGTTATAGGCAATTTGCAAAGTGTTCGTTCATTAAGAGAGCTGTAAGCACAAAGAATTATATTCAAGAGATTTGATTACACTCGTTGAATTCCTGTGTCTGTATCCAGGTATTTTGTTGAAGGGCCGTAGTTTACATCAAGATGACGTAATTCGAGATGTACTTTAGGTTATCAGATGCCCGGATTATGCAGCTTCCGACGTAATGATGATCAATTTTATCAGTAGGAATACCGTTGAATTCAGTTTCTAGAGACTAGGTGTAAGCTTGTAGAACCCATTTTTGACAAAGAGGCCTATTGCTTCATGCGATGACCAGTGAACGCTTCGGAACGGCACCACGATAACTGATAGCTAGCCAGTGACCACTCCTCTAACAACGGTGGCAATCTCTCCAGACTGAGCTGTCTTGGTTTCATAACTTTTCACCTAAGCTTTTATGCATCAACTGTATATCACCCGACGCCAAGTTCAACGTAACGGCGGAGTTTGTGCCCAATCACCTAAGACGGCAACTTTTAAGAGAGCCTCATTGGAGACGTGACGTTAAGCCATGGATTCATAGAAGAACAAACTCTGTGGCGAGATTCCGTTTTGGGGAAAAGGACATTTGACACAAACTATCGATCTGGAAATGGTAGTTTGGTACATCGGATCGGTCAAGTTGCATGAAGAACCAAGGAACTATATAGATCTGCGTCATAGATCGCGATATATCGATTCATTGCCAGGTTCTATCAAGGAGACTGATGTTTTTGGAAAACGAATTTTCTTGCTATGATCATACAGTACGATAAGTTTCTAGTCTTGCGTTGTAATCAATCGGCCCAAGAATTCGCCGCCACGACTAGAGCGGTTCTGCTTGAGAAAGGGTCAATCCCGAATCTAGCCAGACCCGAATACTCAGTTGCCTCAACGTAGGGTACAGTTGATTCTGTAGACCATGTCTAAAGTATTTACCAAGACCAAATGACTCATTCACTTTTTTTGTGTTTCATCAGCGTCTAGAAGCGCGATGCAGAGTAGAGATGTGTCTATGAACATGCACCAATCAAAATGGTATACAAGCCGCGAGCAACGTAGCCCCGACCAGAAGACAGAACCAGGAACGTCCGAACTCCAAACACGAAACCACCTTTTTATCGCCAATCAACGCCATAACCTCGCTGAATGCCGATGAACAAAGAAAAAGATCAAACAAATCAAACAAATCCCGCAAATACACGAGTATATCCCACAACAAGGTTATATGTATCCAAGAACCAACCGCATAGATTACAGATCCGGGAATCCCATTACAAGCGCCGAACTGGAATAACCAAGCCTGGGACCAAGCCGGGATCCAGCCCTTGCGAGGTGATGTAGGGGTGTAAAGGTGTTTCGAGTCGCCAAGTGCAGTCACATAGAATCACCAGATGAAATGGAATATGGACCTGGTCGTAGGAAAGTTCCAGGGATCAAACGAAAAATTAGAAACTGAGAAGATTAAGGGGGGAAAGAAGTTTAGACGGAAGGTGCAGCGCCGACCAGGTCGATGATCTTGCTCGCCACGGCGGATGGGTATCCGCGCGACATCATCTCCTGAACAATGCCGGCAGCTGCAGCCCGGTCATCGGCACCGAGGAACGCGCGAGTCATAGCCTCGTAGGTGCTAGGCTCACGCTTCTCAATGCCGATGCTGTCGTAGATGGTCTTGGCCTTGGCGACGTTGCCCTCGGTAGCCCAGCCGTGGATGAGCGTGTTGGCAATGTAGGCGGTCATCTCGACGTTGCGCTGCTTCATACCGCTGACGATTTCTTCGGTATCCGCAACGCGGTTAGTGGCAACCATGGCCTCGAAGAGGGCCTGGTACAGGCACGGCTGCAGACGTACGCGACGGTCTGCGAGCACGGAGTCAAACACCTTCCGGGCGGCGGGGAGATCGTGCTGAACGCAGCCCTTGGCGTGGACGAGTGAAGCATAATGCACGGCATCTGGCTGAACACCGGCAGCTTGCATATCGGCAAGAACACGTTCGGCGGCGGGCATGTCAACGGGGTCAAGCGAGGCATGAGCGTCGATAAGCAGCTTGTAGGTGTGCATGGTGGGCTTGATGTTGCGGGCCTGCATGCGCTCGTAGTAGGCGAGAACCTTGGACCGATCACGCTTGGTGTTCAGGAAATACTGGATCATCGAGTTGTACGGTGCGGGACGCGGCTTGTAGTTGGGCATGGACTCCATTTCCTCGAACATCTCTTCGGCAAAACGCTCGTCGCTAACACGGCACAGAGCGTTGACAATCGTACCGTAGGTGACACTCGTAGGGCGGACGTTGTTGGCGCGCATCTCGGCGAAGTAGGCAAGGCAATCGTCGATGCGACGGGCTTTGCCAAGCTTCCCAATGAGCGCGTTGTACAAGAAAGAGGTGGGCTCAACGCCCTCGGCGACGGCGCGGTGGAAGATCTTCAGGGCCTCGGTGGCTTCGTCAAAGGTCTTGGTCGACTCCTTGAGGGTGGTGATGTACAGGCCGAAGGTGTTGGCAGACGGCGCCGAACCCAGACCGAGGAGCTCCTGGTGGTACTGACCAGCCAGATGACGATCACCAAGGGTGAGGCAAGCAGAGACCATAGCATCAAGGATGGAGACCCAACCGTACTTGACGGCATTGTGAGCCGGGTTCAAAGGCACGTCGGCGCGGGCCATGGCGTGGATCTCGTGGACCAACTCCATGCGACCAACCTTGGCAGCAGCGGTGATGAGCTTCGCGTAGGTGATGTAGCGAGGGTGACGACCAATGCGGCGCATGTTCTTGAGACGAATCAAAGCCTCGTTGAGGTGGGTCTCCGCGCGACCGGTGGTCTTTTCGAGCTCATCAGCGATGATAGCAGAGCCTCGGAAGTCGGTTGCATGGGCGTATGGATCGAAGGAATCTGGGCTGACGGAAGGGGTCGTGATGTTGGTCTCGGCCATGGAAACGGGGCTGTGGCGGTCCGACAGGAAGGAGGCCTGGGTCGATGCCTCAACGTGGTCCTGCCATCTCTTGACGATTTCGGGACAGCTGGTGAACAGCTTAGCGACGGCCTGGTCAATCAGATGGGTGGTGTGGGTATCCAGAGGCAGAGCGGCAGAGAGAGCGACATCGAGCATGTGGGCAAAGCGGATTGGGTGGGCAACGTCAAAGAGCAGAGCACTGTTGCCAGCCAGCATACGGGCCTGAACCTGAAGGGCCAGGGTGAGGTCGGCGGGGTTAAGCCGCGAGATACCCATGGGACCCAGGCTAGCGACGGCGTGCTCCGCAAGAGGAGACACCAAGCCACCGTTCTCGACCATAGACCACAAAAGAGACATCGAGGCCTGGGGAGAGAGCACAGCAGCCGTCTCGACGAGGACACGGCCAAAGAGGTGAAGCGACTCGGTGATCTGCTCACGGACAGTGGAAGCAGCGACGGCACCCTGTTTGGCGGAGGCGTTGCGGATACGAGCAAACATGTTGCGAGCCTCATGGAGGCCATCCTCAACTTGGCCGCTCTTCAACAACGCAACCGCGTACATCGCGGTCGGCTGGACCATATCCGGGGTTGCCTGACCCACAGTGTTCAACATGATCCACAGAGAACGGGCAGCAGAAACATTGCCTTGGCGGACGTGCAGCGCGAGGAGCGAAATGGCAGGATTCTGACGGGTATCAGGGGAGGTGGACAGACGGTCATATGCTTCGGAGGCAGTGGTAAGGTCGCCAGCGTCGGCCGCAGAAATGCAGATCCGAGAAATGGCCTGATCCCGAGCCGCATCGTGCAACTGCTCCTTTGCCTGAGCCAGGGCCTTGCCGTGCTCACCAACATTCAAAAAGTGTTGCACGAGGGCATCCTGAACAATGACGGCTTCCACGGCAGCCCAGCGGCCTTCGCGATTCTCAGTAACCTCGTCGAAGGAAGAACGGATCCGGTCGAGGAAGTGCATGGCACCCTCTTCCTTGCCACAGGACAGATAAGCGCGGATGACGGCCGCATAAACTTCACCATCGAGGCGCTTGATAATGGCGAAGACGCCGTTATCGTCCGACATGGCCAGGCTGCGGTACTCGTTGTAGCACTCAACCACGCTCGACAGATCACGCGAACCGGCAAAAGCGTCAATCATGGAGGGGAAGATAGATGCGTGAGGAGTCACCTTCTGCATCTCCATGTGAGAATAGATGCGGATCATGTCCTCAACCTTGCCCTCGCGAGCGCAGGCAATGATGAGGTGGCGGTACAAGTCGACGGGGAAGACGAGACGAGAGTGGCGACTCGTGGCCGTGTTGAACAGCTTCACGGCGATAGACAGAGAGTGGTCCTCGGCAAGAAGGTCACGCTCCAGCTCGCTAGACTGCAGCATAAACTTGCCGGGTTCTTCCATACCACCATACCGGACGCGTTCCTGTTCAAGCACTTCCTTGCCCTTGATGGCATGGTTGGCCTGGGTGACCAAAAGCTGGACGAGAGTCTGATAAGTATCTTCGTCGGGAATTACCCTGCGACGAAGCATATCAGAGTACACATCGAGAGCCTTGTGAATAGCCTGAGCGGCCTCGGGATGAAGACGGATAGCGGCAACCAAAAGAGCGTTGTATGCATCGACAGTCGGAGTCAGACCCTCGCGGAGAATTGACTCAAATGCTGCCGGGATCTCAGAATAGTTCTTCGCCGTGGCTAATTGCACAATGCGCTCAGAAGCGATCATACTCTCCTCTGAAATTGCCTCCGAAATCACGACGTCCTCGACGGCCGACTCAGCAGCGACCGCCTCGGTCATGTCCGATGCCTCCTCCGCTTGTGCCTGCTCCTCCTGAATCTGGATCTCCCGAGCGACGGCCTCCTCGACCTGTGCGCTGACATTCTCGTTCACGGCCGCCTTAGTCAAGTGTGGGGGTTCGGGAGAAGGGATGCGCTCATCCTTTGCATCCTCGACTTCTTCGGTGGGCTTCCAGCCAATGCGGCGCGTGAACTGGAACTGGCGCCAGTCGGTATCGTCGCCGGTCTGCTGGGCGTGCTGCCAGGCAGCATAGTAGGCGGCTAGACCGAAGTCACCGTTACCACCAGTACCCTGGCTGGCCTTGGCGCCAGCGCCGGACGAACTGGAAGCATTCGAGAAGGCATTCTGAAGTTGTGTGGTGCGGGAGAATTTGGCGATAGGTTGGAGGGCGAGTTGATTGAGGGTTGTGGACGACGCGTAGGATTGCGACGCGGCCACTACCGACTGAGCATAGCCATGGGTGAAGGCTTTGGTGAAACTCTGACGCGCGAGATGGGTGAATGGCTTGAAGACCATTTATCTAGCGGGAGTCCTCTTCAGAGTGAAGAGGCAATGCTGGATTAGGAAAGACTCGTTAGATGGAGGGTCCTCGAGGAGATTCGGTGCGCATTCGAAGTATGCCAGCTCGAGAATCTTACCTTGCACTCAGAATGATAATTAAAATGCAGGTTCATTGAACGACTTCAGTCGCCAACGAACGCGCCGATATGCGGAAGTAGGGAATGGTAGGGGGTGGAAGTTGGATGGAGATTGGTAGATTAGAGAGACCTGTGTACCGGACAGGGTCTTCTAGTTAGTTGGCTGGTAGGATAGGATAGGATAGGATAGGATGAGGTGAAGGGGGAAGGGAAAGGATCCGATGAGAAAGACAGGAGCTTGGGAAAGTGTTCACACACAAAAAAAAAAGAGAGAGGCACCAGCGTTCACAAATAAGGAATGGAGGGGATTCTGGAAGGAGATGGAGTCGCAGCGTAGTGGGCCTGGCTGTGCAAAGAACTGGTTCTGGTGGCCCTGGCACTTTTGGGGCCGATCTTCTCCGGAGGATCCTGGATGGAATGTACTCGATACCCGTCGAGTGTCGCGTGTGGCCTATGTGAGCGGGTATTATGAGCAGTACTGGACCCATGTACTGGATACCCGTCGACGGCACAACAGTTACAAGCCACGTTCGAGGCTACGACATTTTAGGATACGTTGAAATCGACACGTCAACACTCTTCAGCTGAGGCCAGGTATTATCCGGGGAATACAGGGACGACTCCCGGGACGTATCGAGGAACCTAGATCAATTGTGGCAAGAATATTATTCATCCTGGTACATTAGACTTCGATAACCTCGATTTACTTCACGCATCTATACGTTGAACGTGTCAGGTAACGATTATTCGTCGATTTACTTCAAGGACTTCCCCGGTTCTTCCCAAGATCATGTCAGCAGGGTCAGGTGGCTCGACGGAAAAACCGGACGAGGGGGATGCCATCGAGCCAATCAAACTGATGCATATCCCTATCATCGGGCAACAAAGGGGGAAGCAGACGGAGAAGCAGAAGCCAACCGATGCTGACGGATGGGAAAATGTGCCTGGATGACTCACCCCCCGGTCCCGGTTCTTTTTCTTCGTCCGCTCGGAGAAGCTGCCCTTCTTCCCCGTCGGCTCGGCCTCCCGAACTGTCCGACGGGGTTAACGGTCTTTATACATTGCGGACTTGCACCTTCGGGAATTGATGGTTACTGTCGGAGGACGGAGAATGGGAGATACTGGAAAGGGATACGAAAATGAGTCAGACCTCCGTTTTCCTCTCACTCGTGGTCGATCATTGACTTTGTCTGTCCTATCTCATATTCTTGATGCTAGGGCAGGGAGAACAACAGTCTAGTGGCCTACTGGGCTCGTGGGATATCCGTGATTGATGTATCTCGATGCTCGGACATATTTACTGCGGATCCAGCCGTACTGGACGGATGCTCTAGCGCCGCTCGGTCTTAACTCGGACACAAATGAGGAAATAAAATCACGTGACTGTATGCGGTTTATCGAACGGGGCCTCTATACAATACCCCGCGTTAGAAGTAAAAAAAGGTGGAGAGCAGGAACTAGCTCATGCATATGTACGGAGTTGTACCATGCTAGACCATCGTCAATGTAGCTTCATGAAACAATAGCCTCAGGCACTAGATCCCAACAGCCATGTAACAAATATTAGTCTGATACGGAGTCGATATGCAGCCCAGACAGCCCCGGGGACCACGAACAACTGTATCCCCACGCCAACCAGCAAATACAATAGACAGAAAAGCGGATGATGATAGATACTCGTCTGACGTCAGATGAGATATCTTCTACGCTCGGACAATGTCCCGCGCGACCGTGCTTGTACTATGTCGATCGATGTCCCGTCTCACGTTGGCCCGTACCTTCTTCGGGACTTGGCTTCGTCCGCGCAAGCGGAGGGTGTTCAAGGCTATAATCCAGAACGGGTCAATAGTCCGATGCATTGATTCCTAGGATATCCGGAAGAAGACGTGAAAGCCAAAGGCAAAATCCAAACTTCACCATTGGCACGATGCATGCCGCGTGGGGTGGCTTTGGTGCCTGCAGTACTACCATTGGCCTATTTGGTCCGTCGTTATCAGATCCTGACTCGCGCCATATAGTTGTGATGTTTTGAGGTATTCACGGGACTCGAGATAGCTGTCTGCATACGTTAAGCGAAGTCATGTGTATTGTTTTGACTTCGTTGGGATGTACAAATAGGTACTTGGCCCATCTGTGAGGTACATAGTGAAAAGGGACGGCACACCCAACAGGACTCCAACCTATACATATACGCAGTACTCCGCATGGCTCCCAATTTCCAACGAAAAAAAAAAATCAGGCGATGCCCATAATGGAAACGTTTGTTGTCACTCACGCCAACCAACACAGGGTCTAAGGAACTGGGTCGGTTCCACCATCAGACCCGTGTCCGGGGGAGGTGGAGGCGATGAGGGGAAAACTCTGTGATATAGGCTGATACCTACCGTAAAGGTACGGAAACAGCATTAGATCTACATCGTAATGAAGCCAAATAAGTCCATTTACATAGGCATAGTGCCACGAAAGTAGAGGGGCGTGGGATCTTTTCTTATTTTGTATAGTCGGTGCCGAATAAGTCACCGAGGGGATAACCCCTCATTTGAATCAAAGTACCATCCGCCGGTGTTCCATTTAGCGAAAGCATGATATGACTCACAAGGTAGATTCTTCATGGCAGCTAGCCATTGTAGGACTACCGTGAGGCATTGCATCATAGGTGATCTCGAGCTATGCTGATCATATGTTGGGGTTGCTTTATTTCATTGCATGAAAGAGAAAAAAAGTTCACAAGGATAAGATCGCTTCTGATTTGCGTTTCAAATCACTTTTCACGATTCAGGGAGATAATCAAGTTGAGTAAGGTCTACTCGAATCTTGCATATCTTCCCTAGAATAATACCCTGAAATGCATGCATTATCATAGCAAGCGACCCTACTAACTGGCCGGTTTACTCCGTACTATTTCCGTTTATAGTACAAAGTCAGCGGAAAGAAGCAATGCCTAGCGTTGTTCGATAAAGAGTTTACTTGCCGAATCTCGAGCCATTTACCCCTGAATACAGGGCAACCATGTTCAAGCCTCCTCAAGATCCATCGCATTTCATTACTCATTAGTTCAATTATGGTTTGTCTTCTATGAAGGGACGAGGAGCATGATACTCCATTAGGGATATCATGTGACCGGACCCGGATATACGGGGCATCTCAGGCATTCTCAGGGTCCGAGTCTCGGGCCAAATTGCCTTGCAGTCGGACGATCTAGTGCTCTGGGAAATAAAGTGGAGTTCTTCCGTCACTTTAGCCACTTTAGGTCACCTTAATAGCTTTAGTCAGCTATAAAGGGTGGGTCCGATCAAAAACCCTCAAAGATTATTCATTCATAACGACATCAGATGCAAAGCCTTACCAAGCTAGCTCAAAGAGAGAGCCATGGGTGTAGGGTTCGCCTCGAGTGCGATCTAGGGTATCACGTTTTTTTTCTCTTTTTTTTTCCAGTTGGTGATAGTATTTGCCTTCTCGAGATGTTTTTTTATGGTATTTTCCTAAAAAGCTTCTCGAAGCCGCTTCCGTAAGCTTCCACAAGGCATACCTCTATACTTGATCCTGCCGGAATAACCGCGTGGCCAGCCGCATGAAAAAAATTCATCCCGCTAAGAAATGCGCTACACTCCCTACGGTGGGGAAGAAGAGGCAATGAATGGGACTAGGCTATTTTTCGGTATAAAAGAATATGCAGAAAGACCTACGCCGGACACGAATGGTTGAACAGTTTCTGATGCACGGGAACTAGTAGGATTGTAAGCCTGGAGCTTTGCAGCAGCGGGCCAAAGCTTGATTGGCTAGACTCCGTAGGAATTTCGAAGGAGTTTGACTAATCCCCTAATCTATGACTGGTAGAGAGCTGGAAGGTACATTCTAGACAAGTTTCATTCTGCACCGACTCATGTGTGATGACGGCCCCCGGCTCTATCCGCCAACCACAGACCTTATGCGGGATATAGAGCGACTCGTTCGCAAAGTACTCCGCTCGTACAATAAGTAGCCTTGTGGACTACCCCCTCGAGACTGCTAGTACCCGCAGGCTCAAAAAAAAAATACTTCGTATCTCATCGTCCAAGGCGTAAGTGTGGGTCTCGATCGTCGCTACCATGACGATGCTCATTTACTTCTCCCGCGTCATCCGTCATCCGTGGCTGGCCCAACTCGTACTCATAGACCATGGGTTTATTTTAAAACTCCTCCTCCAATCGCCGAGGAGTATGGAAAGGAAGGAGAAATCCTTCTATTATTCTGCAAGATGGCAAACCGCAAGCAGCTGGCTTCAGTTCTCCAGTTCTTTCGTTCTTCCAATTCTCTCGTTATCCGAATCCTGCTAAACGACAGGGCTGGATATTTCCGTCCAGAGACCCTGTTGCTACTCCGACGGATCCATACCCTAGTTCCGTAGTTCCATCTGTTCCAGAATCCGGTCCCTCTTTATTTTCCCTACGGATCTTCCTTGTGGATAGTTCAATATCTCCCGGTCTCCTTCTGCCGTCCGAGCCACCCCTGCCGGCCTATCCGGAAGGAGCTTTCACGTCTGGTGACAATCCACCCAAGTGGCTACTGACCGCTTGTCAACTGGCCTTGGCGGAATCTCTTTCGCCTTTTTGGCATTTTTCATGCTTTTATTTTCTTGAATCGTGGTGCAAAAAGGATCTCCGAGTGCGCGCTGCTTATAAATTGAGCCGGGCCCTCGTGGAGCGCTGGGAAAATTGAAAAATAACTATACACCCGCGACTTGATCTCTCCCCTTCTTCTTTTTTTTCTTTTCCCTTTGAAGGTTGTCTAGTATACCGACTATTGAAGCTATCCACAGCTATTTGAGCTCCCCTCACCTTCACATCAGTCCATTGCCATCCCCTTCTCGCTACACATAGCCTTTGTTCAGCTTAAGGAAGCTTTACATTTCTTTCGCAATGGTGTCGCAAACCGTCTTGCCACAGCACCCTGGCCAGACCAAGCGGGGTTCGGAGAGTGATAGCTCGCTGGACGAGATCGCCGAGCAAAAACAGAAGCTATTCATCACTGCGCTTGGAAAGCATGGAAAGCATAGCAAGGATCTCGACGACTCCGCGTCGCCCAAGCGCTGGAAGAGCTTCTGGACTTCCTTCCGCTACCTCGCCAACCTAACGCCAAAGGAAGTAGATGATTTCATGGCATCCTATGTGATTTACAACCTTGATTGGGAGAACAAGCAGCAAATGACCGAAGTCTTGGGCCCCAACTACCAAGAAAAGGTTGGCGATTGCTTGAAGTCTTACTACGGAGTACTCAACCACCTTTGCGCATTGGGCGACGTTGAGAAAATGTATATTCCACCATGGATGAGTCGCAAGGCCTCCGTCTTGGAGAACCAGATCCTCTACGAGCGCTCAATTGCGCACGATATCGGCCTGAGCGCCGGCGACAAGGTGTTGGATCTCGGCTGTGGACGTGGGCGCGTTGCAGCTCACATGGCGCAACACTCTGGTGCACAGGTGACCGGTCTGAATATCGATCCTAATCAAGTCGCCCAGGCCAAGAGCTTTAACGAGGAGCGCGGTCTGCACAACAATTTCATCCAGCAAGACTTCAACAGCCTCCCACTTCCCTTCGCCGACGAGAGCTTCGACGCCTTCTACCAGATTCAAGCCTTGAGTCTGTGCAAGGACTTGCCCGCGCTCTTCCGTGAAATCTTCCGCGTGGTCAAGCCGGGGTCCAAGATTTCGCTGCTCGACTGGATCAGCCTCCCAGCCTACGAGCCCACGAACCCCGAACACGCGGAACTTATGCGCCGCGTCAAGCCATTGATCGGTGCCGTGGGCACACCCACCCAAGAGAGTTTGGAGACGGCGCTGAAGGAGGCCGGCTTTGAAATTGTCAAGTCCGAGAATGCTAGTATCGACGGTCTGCAGGCTCCTCTGATCGATACCGTGGACTTGTACTTCCGTACCTTGCGCCAGGTTATCCTTGCCCTAGTCAAGCTGCATATGTTGCCGCGCCATTTCAAGACTTTGATCAACCGACTGTGCCTTGATGGCCAAGCCTTTGTCAAGATGGACAACATGCGCCTGGCTACCACGAGTTATAGCATCATTGCGCGAAAGCCCAAGGATTAGATTTGTGGACGAGAAAGGTCTTTTGGCTCGCCCACCCCCCACAGCGAACGTCTCTTTCACGATGATTTTTATGGGACTCGATCGTTTCGGTCCTTCATCCCTACCAATACCCATGTATATTAATTAAAACCATAGAGGCTTGGGAGTTTTGGGCATTCTTTTTTGAGTTTTTTTTTCTTTGATGAGGCTTTTGTTGGAGCCGGCTTGGAGTTTTCTGATTTGGAAAGAGTTGAGTCAATTCGCGTATATAACCATCTTGGCATCCCCATAGCTTTTGATTTTTAGTTTCTTAATGGATATTTGACTGCCGTGAAATCTACCTGGTCTTTTTGATGTATCAATGGGAAGCATTCTGGGAGTAAGGACAATGATGCTGGCCGAGAAGAACCCCGTAGGGAAAGGCCGGATTCCGTTGAGGCATCTCCCAGAAGCACAACGCGGCCAGGAAATAGTTGGTTCATTTAGATCTGCCCCAGCTCCTTTGCATAACTTAGTCGGACATCTTCGGCCCACTAATCAATCGGTGGGGTTGCCAGTCGATATCATTGAAGGCCTCCACAAATGCTTCCGTTTGGGATTCTACCGACTCTTTGTAGATGCCTTCAGTCTCGGCGATTCTTGCATGGTGAAAAGAAGTGCTCCCGTAACGGGACGATCGCTCGTCCGAGTTATGACCATCTTTCTCCCCCTTCTGTGTCTATGAAGATCGTAGAGTCCTCATGAATGACTTTAGGGCAAGCCACATGTGGCCAGACACGCTAGTCTCCTTTAGGAGATTTAAATACATCCTTGCCTCCACCGACGAGGGGCACCCTTTCCTCCGCCCTCTTTTCCCCCTTTCCCCTCTCCACATTACAATAGAACGCTTGAAGTTGACGACGAACGACTCAATCCACCATTCACGACTATAGCATTGCCGTGGAACTGGGAATCCCCATCTCCCGCGCACAACGAGTCCCGCGGGGCGATCATATTGATAACCAACCGTCCTCCCCACCTTTCCTCCACAAAACCCTCCCTCAGTATCCATGTCTCCCCAACCTTCCTCGGTGACGGCCTTGTCTGCCCCCGGTAAGGTCCTCCTGACCGGTGGTTACCTCGTTCTCGACCGAGCCTATACCGGCACGGTATTCGCACTCGATGCGCGCATCCACGTTGTCGTTCAACAGTTGAGGCGGGGACACCGCCGTGGACCTTCCGGGACCAACGCGGAAGCGCAAGCAGCCGTGTCCGAGGCAGATACAGAAGCTGCTAAGCCTGAGGGAGAGGAACAGGAGGCCGAGCACACCGTCGTTGTGCGATCACCTCAATTCGTGAATGCGGTCTGGGAGTATGGAGTGCAACGATGCGAGAATGGTGGGGGTGTAAAGGTCATTCAAAAGGGCAATGGGTATGGTTTCCCTCATTCAGTGCTTGGGCTGTATGCTTTTACCGCCGCTAACACACGGATCTTGCTTATAGACCTCGCAATCCATTCGTCGAGACCTCTTTGAGCTATGCGTTGACCTACATCAGCTACGTCGCCGACTCCAAAGATTTCGGCTCCTTGTCGGTTACCATTTTGGCGGATAATGACTATTACTCCGAGACAAAAACGTCAAAGGGTGACGCACAGGGACGCGCTGGACGCTTCGTCAATTTTGGCGTCCCCCTCTTCGAAGCTCACAAGACGGGTCTGGGTTCCTCCGCTGCCCTTGTGACGGCTCTCGTCTCCTCCCTGGTGATCCACCGTACCATGCAAGCAGATGATCTGGGTGCTGGACGTGACAAGTTGCACAACCTGGCTCAAGCTGCTCACTGTGCAGCCCAAGGCAAGGTTGGATCTGGATTTGATGTGGCGGCTGCCGTATATGGATCTTGCCTGTATAAGCGGTTTTCGCCTGCAATTTTGGAATCGGTCGGCGACGTGGGTACCGCTGGATTTGACGAGCGATTGTTTGCTATCGTCGAGGATGTGGATCCCAAGCATCCCTGGGATACCGAGTGTGTGGACTTTGGCATGCAGCTCCCGCGTGGGATGCAGATGGTTTTGTGCGACGTCGAATGTGGCTCTCAGACGCCATCGATGGTGAAGAAGGTGCTGCAGTGGAGGAATGAAAACCGCAAGGAGGCCGACGTTCTCTGGGCCAGTCTTCAGAACAACAATGAGCGACTGCGACAGGAATTGAAGCGCCTGGCCCAGCACCCAGACGCCAATGCGGATAACGAGTTCTCTGAAATCGCGACTTTGATTCAGCGCACCCGGCATCTGATCCGTACCATGACCCGCCAGACGGGCGTTCCTATCGAGCCCAGTGTACAGACCGAGCTGCTGGACAGCTTGACTGAGATCGACGGTGTCATCGGAGGTGTCGTGCCCGGCGCGGGCGGGTATGATGCCATTGTGCTGCTGATTCGCGACGATCCCTCGGTGATTACACGGTTGAATGAGCGCTTCGCGAATTATCAGAGTGCAGTGGAAGACGACTTTGGTGGCAAGATTGGCAAAGTGCGACTATTGGGTGTGCGACACGGATCCGAGGGCGTGAAGAATGAAATGCTTGACCAGTATGCTGGCTGGGTCTAGGAGACCCTGATGCCCATCATGTCTCGTTACCTGGGAGGTTACTAGGCAAGCCTGACTTCGTCTAGCTTGCAGTTGATGAGATCCTGCCCTCGGTCGCCAACTTCCGGCATGTCGAACCTGGATTAGCACACCTTTCTGAGCCCCATCAAGATTATGAACTACACGAGTCATGGCTGGTCCGCTATTGCAATATCGGAGCCACGACTCGGATACTCATCCCTTTTTATACCCCCCCTATCCATCCGTCCTTATGTGTGCGTCTATTCATCATAGCGACAAGCTGTGGCGGTATAAATGCTAATCCTACCAATTATCCTTACTTAACTCCCGAGAACCCCACAGAAACACCTCCCTGTGGGTGACCGAGGTTTTTTGTCGGGTGTCTCAGTCTGACCTGGAAAGGGTCGGACTTGGTCGAGACTGTTAGGTGTCGAGAAGCCAGATCTCGTTGAGGGACGCGCATATGAATATGGAATCATTCCACTAGTTATAGCCTTGAATGGAGAGACTCGGCTTGTATCTATAAAGCAAGCAATTGATTTGAAAAATCCCCTTTGGCTTGACCAATGATGGTTGACGATGCACGTCCGGTTGGCTCTGTGAACTGGTTCTGGAACCTGTGGATATCCTAAGCAGCTGACGGCTATAAGTCCAATTCTACTTTCCACTACATTAGCAAGAGCTCTAGGGAGGCCAGGTCAACTGCATACTCCTCAATTTCAGCCCTATAGGAAGGCAGTTGGTCAGGTTCTGCGAACGGCAGGTCCTAATCAAGGAAATTGGTTTACTCTAGCGATTCTTGGGCTAAACGAAGAACGGGAGATTCACCACGTCGGTCTCCTATCGACACATCTCGCTCGTGGTTCTCGCAAGTCGTTGACTCGTTTGAGGTGGGTGACTCTTGGCTTCTCGGCAAGCTTAATGCTTTCCCCGGATCTTCCTTATCGTGCCTCCACGACGGGGTTGAAGTTGGCAGCATTTCATTATCCACCGGGCCTTTGTGACGACGTTGACTATTGATAATTCCAGACAGACAGTCTCCAGGGTACTTTTACGTTTTCCTCGGCTTGTCTCTATTTCACCCGTCGCGGGCTTTGTCTGTCGATCCCTCTGGAACTTCGTCGACGTTGGACCCTTTTCGGCCGATCTTCTTGTCTCTAGTGCAACCTCCTCTCATCTGATTTTCGAATTTTTTTTTTCCTGCAATCTAGTAATTTAAAACAGACTTTTTCTTGAGCTCTTCCGAATCACCTTGGAGGGTCGCCCATTTCGCTAGCGACAAAGACTATTGCGCCTCCCGCTTAGGTCGACTCCTCACGTCTCGACCGATTGTCCGTCCACATCTCCTCCTCTTCTCCTCTTTCCACCCTGTCCCTCCCCTTTGTCTACTATTTCCATCCTTCCATCCCCGTTGGTGCCCGTCTTTCCCAGCCTCGCCTCCCAGGGAAAGCTAATTGCCACCTGCCATCGGGGCCACCGTTACCATGTCTACCACCGATCACCCGGAGTCCGGGGTGCCCGACTCCAGCGACCATCACGAGTCGGGGGCCACCACGACTTCTCCGCAGCAGAGCTCCCTACCCCAACCCACGACCACGGAGTCTACTTCTAGCCCAGCAAATTCAGACCCGGTCGCCGATGCACCCACATCTACCGCATCGGCGGATTCCCAGCAATCTCCCTCGGGCGAAGATACAGCCACTGCGCCCCAGCACCCCGCAAGCGGTGGCGAAAGCGTCGCCCCTATGACAGCAATGACTGGCTCCACGACGACCCCGGCCAACGACACCACCACCACCGTCGCGCAGTCGCAAAATCTAGACACGCCATCAATGGGGACTCATGAGCCTAAGTCTGGCGCGGAGCTTTCGTCGGACCAGTCGGAGGATATCTCGGGGAAGGAGGTTGAGGATGCGGGTCCGACACTGGTCATCACGTTGCTGTTGACGACGGGATCGCGACACCCTTTCACGATCGATGCGAAGTATCTGCGAAAGCAATCGGTCAATGTCGAGAATGATGATCCCTTCGCGATGAGCGTTTATACGCTGAAGGAGCTGATTTGGCGGGAATGGCGATCGGGTGAGTTTGGGTTCTATCGGGGTGACTATCCCGATGGTATTCGGATACTCTGATGGGTTTGACATTAATGATTCATAATAGACTGGGAAACTCGCCCTTCGTCGCCGAGCTCTATCCGTCTGATCTCTTTCGGCAAGTTGTTGGATGACAAGTCTCCTCTGTCTGGTATGTTCCCTTGTCGGAAGATCGTGGTATCCTGATGTGACCTTACCGGCTTATCCAATATGCTAATCTATACGCTTTCTACAGACTCTAAATTCAGTGCGGACCACCCCAACGTCGTACATATGACCGTCAAACCGCAGGAGGTGGTGGACGAGGAAGATGCCAAGGGTGCAAAGGCGCACTTGAACCGCGACCGCGAAGCGAGTGAGCGCAGCCCTGGATGCCGCTGTGTCATCCTATAGACGAGACGTCAGTCATTGCCACAGGTCATGCTATGTATCAGATGTATATCGGCGATCTCGAGCTCCCGATATCTCGATACACTCTCCGCCTCCGGCGCACATCGCATCACCTGACCCTTTCGGAACCGCTCATACACTATATACTGTCTAGCCGTGACATCTTGACATACCCTGCCTGGATGCAGGATGAAGACTGGCTTAAGTCTTGGCTACCCCATCGACTATAGTCTATCTCAAGGTTCCTGCGACCCGCTGCATTTTTGCCTACAACACCTCCTGGCTCAGTCATTTCTGATCGTCCACGGGGGTTCACCTCACCGCTGCCTCTCTTCTATTTCACTCTCTCCCTTTCGCCTTGTCCTGTCCTGTCCTATTCATCTATCTATATATATATACCCACCATCCAATCCCTTTCTTTCTCTTTCCCTTTCTCTTGATTGACTCGCCATTTTCCTTTCCCATCTCTGTTTTTTGTTCCTCCCATGTCTATTTTCTGAATGGCTGTCTCATGGGATTTTGTGTATCTATGAACGTGCCTGCTTTCCATTTGTTGGTTTGGTTTGGTTTCTTGATTCGTCACTCGTCTTGAATATCTTGTTCTCGTAGTGTATATGCCTTTTTTGCACTGGTACATAATGAAATCCCCACGAGATGCTACTTTTGATTGTGAATTCATGTTGAGTACGCCTTAAAAAACCTTGAATATCAAATAGGTGGATATACAGATGTGATCTCCAAGGTATAGATTGGATTGAAACAGGTAGCCGGCCATCTCGCGGTATCTAGTTTGTTTATAGGGAAGCAGTGTAGAGATAAACGGTGTTTCTGTTATATTGTCTATCGCTCTATCATTGACATGGGATGAGAGGGCGAAACAGGTAAAGCAGGAAGGGACCTAGTGTGGTGAAACATTGCGAGCAGGAGATAATGGGGAAACATCCATCGAGGAAACGAAACGAAACGTTAAAATTAATTCATCCAAGTCTGATTCTCTTAGAAGTGCATCTTGAGCCTCTTCTCCATCTCGTCGTGGAACGAGGGGGGTTCCCGAAGGTCGTCGCCTGCAAGAAGATATAAAAAATTAGCCAACCGTATCACCAAGTATTAGTAGACAAAGACAATGCAAGTCCCCAACTCGCCATACTCCATCCACACCACCCCTCATAACGAGGACATCACACTTACCCTGGAAAACATCCTCCCAACCAATCTCCGTATCACGACCACCAAGCACGAGAATATCCTCATGCACATTACCACCCTTCATACCACCCAGCACCGCAGGCCGGAACGTACCATCCCTCACAATCTTGAGCTCCATCCCACGACGCACGGGCTCCGCAATGCCATACGCCCGACGCAGAGACTCCATCTTCATCGAGTCTTGGGTTGCGCGCCAGGCGAGCAGGCGGGCCTCGAGCGGGTGTGTCGAGGAGGGGATGTCGGCTGCGGATGGGTTGTTGGTTGACGAGGCGGTTGCAGTGGCGGGGAGGGTGAGCTTGTTGCGGAGTGTGTCCGGGAGACCTGGGGCGGAGGGAGCGCCCTTTGAGAGGTGGCTGGAGGCGTGTGTGGTTTGCAGGCGGGCGGAGGTATTCGAAGTTGAGCTGCGGTTGCCGCTGGGGGGTGCGATGCGGAGAGACTGGGATGGTGGTTAGTTGTTGGCTGTTCAGTTGGTTGAAGAGATGATTGATGAATTGGGGATGGATTGGGAGGATGGGGCTTCAATAGATGCAGCAACTGGTAATGAGGATGGCCATGGGAATAGGGTGTGGAATCCGGGATAGGCTCTTTAGAAGCCCATTGGCTTGATGGATCGGAGGGTGAGGTCCCAGTCCGTAGCTTGATAACGCACCATTATGACGGTATGAGAGTGGTTCAGGGCTTTCTCTAGCTCAGATGACAAGATTCAATGAGGATTCTGGAGATTGAAAAAGCTGCAGAGGAAGAAAAGGGAGAAGCAAGAAGGTATTGGAGGATGATGACTGAAATGCGGAGGACGACGGCGTCAGGCAGAGAGCAGCAGCGCGTCCAGCTCCTCCGGCGGCCCACAAAGTCCACCAGCGCAATTCCTTTCTCCGTGTCACGTGCTCTACATTTCCAATCTCAAATCATCGGCGAAGTCGAGAGTCGGCCTTGTCCAGAAGGGAGTTTCCAGGACCAACAACCCCAACCACATCAATGCCGCAATTAATTTCACCTTTGGCCCTCCGGGCCCTACGGACACTCATTCACCGTCCGGCCTCAACATCAACACCCCTACGCACCCTCACAACTTCCTCAACCAGCGCCTTCCGCCGCGCAACCACAATCGCCAGCACCACCCCGATCACCACCCGCTTCACCTTCACCCCCATTTACCGCACCCAAGCAGCCCTCACCCGCCAATTCTCCAGCTCTCCCATCATCCGCGCAACCTACAACCAAGTCCGCCGCGGCTGCCGCAGCGGCCAGAGCGCGCGCCGTAGCCGCTCCCCGGCATTGAAGAACACCCCGTGCCTGAAGGGCGTCTGTGTTAAGACGGGTATCACCAAGCCCAAGAAGCCTAACTCGGGTGAGCGCAAGGTTGCAAGAGTTCGGTTGAGTTCGGGCAAGGTCGTTAGTGCTATTATCCCCGGCGAGGGTCATAATATTCAGCAGCACAGTGTTGTGCAGGTTCGGGGTGGTAGGGCACAGGATTGTCCTGGTGTGAAGTATCATTTGGTTCGTGGAGCTATGGATTTGGTAAGTGCTTGAATTTGATTTTGGTTCCGTCTTTTCCCTGGGGTGCTGTGGGATCGGTGTATGTGATGATCAGGGCTGACGAGTCGTTTTAGGGTGGTGTCGGAAGCCGTGTGACCAGTCGCTCCAAGTATGGTACGAAGAAGCCTAAGAGCAACTAAAAGGTTGGCATGGTTTGTGTAGGATAGAGAGAGTCCTGGAGCAACGATGCAGATTGGCATTCGGAGGTTTCCAGCCTCGAGTCGAGCTCAAATCGCTGTCCGGTATGGACTATGCGCCCTTGAGAGGAACGGCATCATATTTTCATTTCCTTTTCTACACCATTGTATTTATGCAGGAGCTCTTGTTGTCCAATTTTTGTATCGCATGTACTATTATGGAGTGATTGGTTATTTGAAATTCGTCCAGCTTTGCTCGAAGTAAGCTTTAGGCCCTACGCAGTACGAAAGATCTGCCGAGTCCGAGCAATGAACAAATAATTCAGACTGGGAGCTAGTATTCAAAGTCTTTCCGAATTTGAGTATGTCGAATGTGGGAATAATATAGAAAAAACGGTTGCTCATCCTGTGAGAATCCTGGTGTACTCCGGTGACCCATGCAATCGACTATGAAGAAAAATGGAGACAATCAGAATGAGGAAAGAAATAAGAAGGGAAACACGCTGCCGACAAATGAAGTTAGTGACACATGGAAGCCATCAATTCTCCAAAAGCTGCCGCACCAGGAATTTTGGATAAGAGAGAGCCGATCAGACAATAACCGCACATCCCAAAATCCGAATATCAGTCATTCAAGATGACCACTTCGGACCAGGACGGGATTTTCTTTTAGGCTTCAGTCCAGAGAAGAAAGACAAGCATGGTCATCGTTTAGAGAAGCCATCACAAACTCAATCGATTTCCCTGATCTTCGTCTTCATTTTTTGCTCGCCGAGCGGTATTTGTAGGTGCCGCGGCACACTTTGACGAAATCAACTACCGAGTCGATCACCAAACGCAGCCACTGCATAACCCTCATTCGCGCACGGTGGCTGGCTAGCAGAACCATTGCACCAATCAGACACATGACAACGACGTAGCGACCGAGCGCGAGGAGTCAATCTTGCTTGTCCCAGCCATCGGGCTTTTGCAAATCGTTGACCTTGAACCACCGATTTGTGCCTGGAATTTCACATTAGCAACGCAGTTCAAGAATATATTACTAGAGAAAATTGGGCTTCGATGCTTACAAGAATAGCCCTTCCAGTCAAAGTTCTCTTCGGGTTTGCAATGGCAGCGCAGGTCCAGCCTCGTCTGCTCATCGCTCGGGCAATGGGTGAAGGGTACGTGGTAGTAGGCGATCTCGTTGAAGAAGTGAATTTCCTCCTTCTTGAGCATAGTGGCTGCGGCGATGGAGTGGACGGGTGCATCACCCCATCGCTCATAGAAAAAGCCACCATCCTGGTCCAGGGAGGAGAAGTAGTCAATGTACGGCTTGGAGCGCAGCCACTCCAGGCTGCCAATCTCAAAGTTGGACCACTGTGGATTGATGTTAGCTGTCTTGGGCATCTCAAGAATCGGTTCGCTGGGGATGACATACGAAGTGGCACTTGTTATAGGTCTCACCGCCGTCCTCACTAACAAACTCCATGGCGTTACCGCTGGGGATGTGCTCCGGGTGACTCTTCATGAACTTCTTCACGCTATCCCAGAGAGTGGGAATGGTATCAATGTATTCGTACAGACTGATGACAAAGCTGTACTTCTTATCGTTCTCCTTCATGAAGCGGAATGGGTCATGGCCGATGTCGCAATAGAGCTCAATGCTGGGCTCCACGCGCCAATAGTATTCGTAGTTCATCATCAGCGGATGGCGGAAAAAGAAGCCCGACTCGTAGCGGCACATATGGCGATAACTTTCCGAGTCACCGTAGATGATCTTCTTGCGACCCATCTCCTCTCGCGCCTCCTTGGCCTTATCCTGGTCAATCCAGTCCGGATACGACCAATGCTCTTCGGGAATTTTGCCGTAGTGTGTGGTACCGGAAGCCAGAGAGGTGGTCAGCTTCTTGAAGTCCTCGTCGAATTCCTTATCGTTCAAGAAAACCCAGTCGTAGTTGTAGTCGCGATTGAAGCGATCCTCGACATTTCGGATGGATTTGGCGATCTCCCAAATGTCAGAGTTGCGGGCGAGGGTGACAAAGGTCGCATTGACCCGCTCACTGCTGTTCGTTCCGACATTCTGTGGTTTTGACGATTTGAAATCTTCGTAGGAGGGTTCAGGGCGAGGGAACGAGGCTGCACTGGGCAGTTGGAAGGAGGATCGGGTGATGATGTAGAAAAAGGCCAATCCCTGTGGGGACGATGGTTAGCGCCACTGCGATTTCATGAGACTTCAACGGCCGCCATGGGCGGGCAGTGCTGGGTCAGGAGACGATCGAGGTACTTACCACGACGGCGAATACTAGATACCGGGTATATCGCGCGGAGACTGACATTGTGGCGAGTGGGAAGAGGAAGAAAGCCTGGAGGAGTAGGTGACAGTAACAGTAATGATGCGACCAGGCCGGCGGAGATGCGGCCTATCCTTGTTTGATTCCCTCAGTGAAGAATGATCAGCATCCGCCGATGGACAAGAGCAGATGCAAATGAAAAAGGAAGAAAGAAGAAACCGGCCCAAGAGGTGTTTAGGGGAGAACTAAGTGGAGGAGGAGGACGATTGGGGGAAATTAGATAGGCGACCGACCAGGCCGCGCAAGACAATGGCGACAACCGCATTCAGCCGTTGGTTTCACCGAACCGCGAGACATTCGGACCGTTTAGGGGGGAGGACCCAGAACCTGCTTGGTATGGAATTCGGCCCCCAGGAATTGCTTGGCTATGGAAGGAGTGGAACACCAATTGTACTTGATTATCATAAAGTCTGTGGGATTTCGATGATGCAAATCACCCCCCATCTGGCCCATGAGGATCGACAGTATAACAAGAATCGTCAGGACATGGATCCAGAGCTTACGGGCGTGATCAAGTCCGGCCAATTATAAGCACCGGATATTTTTATATTGTTGGACATGCTCCAATTGAAAAACAACACACGATCCCAAACAACCCGAGAAAATTCAGGAAAAAGTACTCCGTAATGTTAACCGCTATGCCACGGACATGATAAGGCGGGTCTCGAATTCAATTTTTGATGGAATATGAAACAGAGACCCTGTAAGTAAGAATAAATCCCGACACGATCTATTCTCTGACAGCTCTCCTTGCGCGATGATCCCCACAACACTCTAAAGGTCTTGCCAGTTGGTTCACTTCGTGACGGGCCAACTGGCCAGTTGATCGAACCGCGCCTTGGCAGATCTCATTGCTGCCTGAGGCTTCCATCGCTCCAAGAACTTCGCACCTCACCTTCTCCCCCCCCCACCAGCCAATCTCGCCATTCCCTTCTCATCCCTTCCCCTCTTCCCTCCCTCCCATCCTCCCATCCCACCTGGCATCTGGCCAAAGAGGCATGTCTTTCTTTGGTTTTGATACCACTCTCCCCCGGGACCGCCAACAAGGTGGCCCGGCCAGGGGCTTCTTCGAGAACCCGGATCCCTTCGCGGAGGTTGCTCGTGCGCAAGCACTGGAGGATGACGATGGGTGAGCTATCGCGATTGGCCATATAACTAAAATTACGCAAGTCACTAACTCACATGACTAGAATTGACTTCGAGGATACCTACGATGGTCTCGGTGACCAGCTTGACGATGATCAGGATGCCTTCAACGATGACACCTTTGGTGGTGGGGATGCTGGAGCTACCGCTACTGGTGCGGTTGGGAGAGACTTTGACTTCTTCGGCACCACAGCCCAGGTCGCCGATGTCATTGGAGAGGAGCAGGTTCGCTATGCCCTGCAAAACCCCTCGGCAGCTCCGTTGGCCGCCCAGCAGCAGCATGCCGCCGCCCCGGCTCCGACCACGACGACCACCGCCGCCGCGACCGCCACTAAGCGCTCTGGATATGAGAAGTACTCGGACCCGGGATACATTCCCGATCTGCAGGCCAAGTCCAGCGTCTGGGGTATCTCGCAGAGGAAGCCCGACCCGATTCCAGCTGCCAGCCGGAGATCGATGATGAGCTTGGAGGAGGTCGAGGCGCAAATGCGCCAGCGGGCCCAGCCTACCGCGACGATGTCATCCCAGTCAATCCCTCAGCACATGGCCGAGCCTTCCTACCTACCCCCGCCGCAATATCCTCAGGTTATTCCCGAGGGCTTCCCCGCAATTCCTCCCGAGTACTTGCGAGCTGCCCTTGAGAAGGGTGTGCTCCCCCCGGGCATGCCTGGTCTCCCTCCCGGTATTCCGGAGCTCCACGGTGCCCCTATCATGTCTGGACCTCCGCCGATGCACATCCAGCAAAACCAAATTCCTCCTCAGAACCTGCCTCCCCAGGGTCACCGTCATCCTGGCCCGCCTCCAGGCCAGCGTCAGCAGCAGCAACAGCAGCAGCAGCAGCAGCAACAGCAGATGCCGCCGCCACCATCGGCTCGTGGACCTAACGCTGGCCTGCCGGTCATCACCAACCCGCAGCAGCTTATGCATCTCACTGAAGAGCAGCGTAATGCTTACCTGGTGGAGGACGCGAAACGAGCGAAGCGCAACCACAAGATCTTCCTTCTGTCTCGGGGCAATGGCTTGATGACACCCCAGGACAAGAACTTCATCACCCGTATTCAGCTGCAGCAATTGGTGGCAGCTGCTGGAAACGTGGCCGATGCGGACCCGGAAGCTGTTCTCGCGGAAGACTTTTATTACCAAGTCTATAGCCAGATTCGGGGTGCACCCCGCCAGCACCCACACCAGCCTCTAGGTCACTTCGCCCAGACCTATCTCCTCCAGACCGGAAACCGCCTGGGCGGACACGGAAATAGGAGGGCATTCCAAAGTGCCGATAACCACATGCAACGGATGCAGCAGCAGGTCCAGCGTGCGGTTGAGGCGGCCAAGGCCAAGCCGAAGAACAAGCAACTTATCATCGAGGGTAGCTTGGGTAAGATTTCATTCAGCAATGCTAAGGCGCCCAAGCCCATGCTTAATATCAAGCGGCCTGATAGCTCCGAGGGCCCTCGGCCGAAGAAGGTGCAATCGGACCTCAGCCTCAGCGACCGGAAATCCATCCTTACCAACATCGAGAGCGTGTACAGTGCTCTGATGGCTATGGAGGATATGGAGCGCACCATGCCGCCTCCCCCCGAGGAGGGTGATGCCGAGGCCATCCAGGAGCATATGGAATGGCGGCAGAAGGTCCACTCGCTGAACCAGAAGTTGTGGCGAGCCCTCAAGGTCATGGAGCCTATTGTGCCCAACTCAACCACCCCGCACCCTTTCATCGCATTCTTGTCATATCCCAAGGGCAAGAAGGCCATCCCCCGCATTTTCCGTCACATTGACCAAGAGCAACGCGTTACCATTCTCACCATGATCGTGGTCCACCTGGACAGCTTGGACGTGGTCCGTCTCGCGCAGCCCGGACCAGGCGAGGCCCAACCTTCCATCGCAGTGCGCGAATCCATTGACCTCTTCTCGCTGGCCGTGATGCCCAGCTTGCTAGGCTACGTGAATGAAGCACCCTTCAACATCATTATCGGACTGCTGGGTCTGGTGATTGCCCAGACGCACGTGCAATCAGTAGCCCGTACCAAGGTTGGCCTGGGTATTTTGACGATGCTGCTCAGCCGTGCAGAGATTGTCAAGGAGGCTGGTCAGGCTGCCGAGCGGGACTGGCAGCAGTGGGTGGAGAAGTTCAACATTCTGTTCGATACCCTAGAGCCCTCGCTCGCAGATATCTTCCCCGGTGCGATCAACACGGGTGACGATATGTATGTGTGGCAATTCCTGGCCGCCGTGGGTATCGGTGCTAGCCCGGAGCAGCAGCAGCGCCTTGTGATTGCTGTTAAGTGAGTGGACCCCCCTATCGATTCATGACCTTTTTTTTCCGCTAACCAGCCTGCCTTTTAGGGATCGTGTGATGGAGACTGTGGGCTACAGCAAGACCCTGCCTGCCGATATGGCCAGCCAGCGGCTGGGCAATGTCAACTTGTTCATGCGAGCCATCGGTCTGGATGTCGAACTCCTGGGTTAAACCGGAATCGTCATATCACCAGGAGACTCTCTTTGCAGTTTTCCTCTTCTCGAGCTACCCTATTGCAGCCCATGGCCGTGGGCTTATGCATTCCTTTGGGGGGTCTCTCGTGGGATGATTGCCCCTCGACCGGATTGGCTCTTACCCCCAGTCCGTTCTCTCGAGGGCTTTGCAGACACGTCTCAGTTTTGGGTATCTCGATACCCTCTCCCTCCCCCGCGCAAAGTTGCTGAAACGCACATTGGCGCCGAATGTACTCGAGAGTTCTTGAGCCGGATGTTCCAACCAAATACATGTGGGCATATCGACATACTTTGGCTGAGGCCAACCAAAAACACTTGAACGGGCGACTTATTTTTTCCATACCCCGAACCTCGAGCATCTCCGTGTTCTTTATTTTCTTCTCATACCAATTCCATCTTTTTTATCTCAACTGTATACATTTTTCTCACGGCCGTGTTAAGCGGGAGGGAGCTTGACTCTATGGGCATACTGCACTGAATTCACGGCGGGGAATTATGTTCTACACTCCAGGGTAGGAGGGTCTATCCGTGTCCCTCTTGTATCTAATTAGTTCTATGCTTCTCTGGATATGATTGACCATCTACGATTTCTCCGATATTCTCGGTCGGAGGCTTAATTGCACATCTTCTTCAGGATCTCATGATCCCGAATGAGTAGTAGATTCGGGAATAGTGCCCCTCGGCCAAAATCGGGAGAGCAAGAATAATGCAGCGGGCACCAGGGGCGATCCACTCGGGGGCCACGTACTGGGTCCCAACGGGAAGTTGACTGGGCTTAACTTAACTGGACCTAATACCATCGTGAGCCTAAATGGACCCTGGGTCCCCAGGAGAAGGATGGACCTAGCCGGGCTTCTCATTCGGCAATGGCAGGCCCGGTGGGACAGATGACCCGCACGGTCCTGAGATGAATCGGGCCTCTCTTTAACAAGAAATTGAATGTTTGGAAATTGCCAGTTGGCTTTTTTTGGGGGGGAGCGGGCTGGCTCTGGTTTATCCGCCGGATCATTCGATTAGGCATGGTAGCCACCTTTCTACCTATCCACCTATCGTCAGCTCAAGAGGCTAGCTAAATATCAAGGCTCGTTCTAGCTTAGACGGCTAATCATGCCAGACATGCGAGATTAGAGACTGGTGGTCAAATTACCCGATCATTGCGTGATTATTAATTGAGACTCATGTTCATTTCGTATAATGCAAGTGGTCGGTGTACACCGCCAGGACGATCGGTGATCTGCACTCTGGTCCGTCTATCATTTCCCAGGGTTCGTCCATGGACGAGCCCGTCGCAAGAGAGAGTACTACAAAGTATCAGGGAGGGCTATTGCGACATCTTCGCCATAGTTGATTTTATCCAAATGCAAATATACTACTATCTATTATCATTGTGGTATGTATCTCGATATTCAAAACAAGTCTAACCGAGATCTCGGGCTACACAAAGAGGCTGGTCTGGCCGCGTCAGATGGGGCCGGGCGAGGGAGATGAAATATGACGGAGTGCCCCTCCCCGCTGTTGGCTGTTGGCTGCTTTGGGTTGTTTGGGTCTCGTTCCTTTCCCCTTAAAAAGCTGCCCCTCCTCCACCCCTATCCCTATCCCTCCTCTCCCACTCCAATCCCCTCAATTCCTCCTTACCGTTCCTAATACCCTTCCCTTCATCATGCCTACTGGTGCAGTTCTCGTCGCCGGGTGAGTTTCTTCCATTTTCCTGCGCTTTTGCATTCCCATCCCCACCCCCGCCATCTTGGCCCCATTGCGAATTCCCCAGCTAAAGCTCCCGCTAGTGGTACCGGTTACATCGGCTCCTTCACCACCCTCGCCCTTCTGGAGGCTGGCTACAAGGTCGTCGTCGCTGACAACCTCTACAACTCCTCCGTCGAGGCCCTGAACCGGGTCGAGGCTATCTGCGGCAAGAAGGCCGAGTTTGTCCAGCTCGATGTCACCGAGGAGAATGGCTTCGACAAGGTCTTCCAGGCTCACCCCGACATTGACAGTGTCATTCACTTTGCTGCCCTCAAGGTACGCCCAGCCATCCTCATGACGAATTGAAAGAAAACCAACTCAGCGCTGCCATTGGCAAAATGAATCACCCCCCCCCCCCCCAAACCAAAACTGACACTCTTCTTTCCATACAGGCTGTTGGCGAGTCCGGCGAGAAGCCCCTGGACTACTACCTGGTCAACGTCTACGGCACCATCAACCTGCTCCGCTCCATGGTCAAGCACAACGTCACCAACATCGTCTTCTCCAGCTCGGCCACCGTCTACGGCGATGCCACCCGCTTCCCCAACATGATCCCCATCCCCGAGGAGTGCCCCCTGGGCCCCACCAACCCCTACGGTAACACCAAGTTCGCCGTCGAGACCGCCATCACCGACGTGATCAACGCTCAGCGCAACAATGCCATCAAGGCCGGCAACGAGGCCGAGGCCAAGAAGTGGAACGGTGCCCTGCTCCGCTACTTCAATCCCGCCGGTGCCCACCCCTCCGGCATCATGGGCGAGGACCCCCAGGGCGTCCCCTACAACCTGCTCCCCCTGCTCGCCCAGGTTGCCACCGGCAAGCGCGAGAAGCTCCTCGTATTCGGTGACGACTACGCTTCCCACGACGGCACCGCCATCCGTGACTACATTCACATCCTCGACTTGGCCGACGGTCACCTCAAGGCTCTCAACTACCTGCGCGAGCATAACCCCGGTGTCCGTGCCTGGAACTTGGGTACCGGCAAGGGCTCTACCGTCTACGAGATGATCAAGGCCTTCTCCGCTGCCGTCGGCCGCGACCTGCCTTACGAGGTTGCCCCCCGTCGTGCCGGTGACGTTCTCAACCTCACTGCCAACGCTACCCGTGCTACCAACGAGCTCGGCTGGAGCCCCAAGTACACTCTCGTGGACGCTTGTGAGGATCTCTGGCGCTGGACTAAGAACAACCCCCAAGGTTACCGCCAGCAGCCCCCTGCGGAGCTGCTTGCTGCCCTGAAGAAGTAAGGGTTGACTTGGGTCGGTAGTCGCAATGATTCTTGGCAGATGAGGTTGGGATTTTATCTTATTTTTAAAAAGTATCTAGTTGAGATATTCATGCGTGGACATAGATAGTATTTACGGTAGAATACATGAAACGAATTTCCTTTTTCGCTATATATTTCGGTCTTACATTTGTGGTAATTTGAGTAAGGGAGATTGTCCAGAAAGTGATAAGAGACTCATGGTGAATAAAGATGAGATATGCCGTTTGCTCTTCCTGCCAACAGACAGTTGGAGATCCGTGTAGATGGAGGGCGTCGATTTCAAGACTTGATCGAAGTCCTCTACTTTATCAAACCCTCTTTTCATTGCGGCAATTGTGTTAAGTGCACCAATAGAAAGTCTATAAAACGGCACCACCGCATCATGCATTGCTCTTAATGTATACCCATAATCAAAACGCCTCCCATGATTTCCAACCCACCCCGATGTATAAACACTACCCCTAAGATGATGTCTCAAACCAACTAATTCTTGTTCCCCTTCCGGCTCCTCCTCGACCCAGCACTCTTCTCCTTCCCAGAAGCAGTTTCCTTCCTATTCTTCTTCTCCTCCGCCGCCTCCTTCTCCTTCTTCTCAAGCGCCCGCCTCACAGCACTCTCCTTCTCCGCCTCCTCAATTTGTTTCTCACTAAACTCCCACAGCCGCTTCCCCAAGTCCTCGTCCCGGACATCTCGTCGCGCGCAGTCTACCTCCCGACACTCCTTGATCATCCAGCCGCCCTCGCCGCGCGAGTAGCTCTCCTCCATCAACGCGTACAGGATACTTTGTGCACCTTGTTGTGGCGATTTGAGAATTAGGCACCACAGTGGCCAGGTGAGGAGGTACAGGAGGAGACCCCAGAGCGAGCCGCCGGTGAGCCAGCGGCGTGTTCCCGGGGTGCGGGAGAGACCAGGGTCGACGACGAGGACGCGCGTGCAGGGGGGTAGACCGTCTGGTCGCGCGTAGGCGTTTAGATGGCGTTGGAAGGAGTGGGCGAAGGTCATGAGGGAGAATTTGCTAAGGGCGTAGATACCCTTTTTGGATGCCGGGGGTGAAGACTGGGTCTTGAATTTGTTCTTTGCGGATGCCGTGGAAGCATCATTCCCGCGCTTGACAATGTCCAGGTCGAATTTAGCCCCGATATAGCTGGAGCACGTGGCGAAGACGACTCGGACGTCTCGGTGGGCTGGCTGCACGCGGAGCGCGGGGCTAAGGATACTGAGGAGGTGGAAGTTGGCGAGATAGTTGATCTGCCACTCCTCGTCGATGCCGTCGAGGGTATGCTTGCGTGCGCGGGATGGTACGGCGACGCCGCCGCAAAGGACCACGGCGTCGAGACGTCGGGGAGGGTTGTTGTCGATCCATTTTGTGGCGAAGGTGCGGATTGAGTGTAGGGATGAGAGGTCCACTTGTTCGGCGTAGATGAGTTGACTGCCCGTTTTACGGCGCATGTCTTCGACATACTCGACGAGGAAGAGGTCTGAGGGGGGTTGCTTGGTTAGGAGGATGACTTGGGCGCCGCGAGCAGCTAGTTCTTGAACGACGGAAGCTCCTATGCCGGATGTACCGCCCTGATAGTAAAGCTGTTAGCAGAGAGAATTTCGATACTGATCCGTGGGAATCCATACCGTGACCATCACCACCTTGGAGTGCATCAACCGCTCGGAGGTGTTGCGTGCTCCGCCAAAGTAATACTTCAGCGCGGCGAGCAAGAGCAGCCACGGTGCTGTCTTGATTACAGTCCAGGCATATGGAATTGATCCAATGCCCTCCTGAATGCCCTGGGCAATAAGGGGAATGGGCATGGTGGGCAGACGTAAAATGAGCTAAAAAATAAAGAGAGAAGGAGAAAAAGCCGTGGAGCTGTCCGGAGGAGTACGTGGCTTATCGCCATCTTATCGAGCTTATCGCCACTGACCCGTTGTGGGCCTCGTCTTGGCTTTCCAGAGAGCTTCCATCTTTCATCCTTTTTTTCCATTGCAATGCGCCCAAAATGTCCAACTTCCAAGAGGAAGATGATGAGGACTACTATCTCCCATTACAAGACCAGCGCGTTTTTGGCGCGGGTATACGGCGGAAACGGGTACCCTTCGTGCGGTCATCCGAGCACGAGCTCAGTACGATAAACCCGACACGCTCTTTGTCTATACCTCCCGGACCGAATATCGCGGACACATACCTCTCGATCGTACTTAAGAAGCCGACCGCAAGCACATCGCCGAGTACACCAGAAGATAGAGAGGCTTCAGCTCCAGAGCGCACCCCACATTCTGCGCCGCCCACATCAGAGGCCATCTCACCTCCGCCACCTGCTCCTACATCCTACGCCGAATCCAAAGACCGCTGTGAAATATGCAACCTCCCAATATCAGCAGATATTGGATCAGATGAAAACACAGATTCATCGACATCTCGGCCCCACGAAGCCTCCCTCGCCCACCAAGTCTGCCTCCAACACTCGCATCCACCCTCCCATCTTGACCGGACTCGCGCCGGCCTACGCTACCTCTCCAATTACGGCTGGGACCCCGACAGTCGTCTCGGCCTTGGCGCAGCGGGCCGTGAAGGTATCCTTGAACCCTTGAAAGGGCGAATAAAACACGACACTGCGGGGTTGGGCACGGGTCTGGATAAAGATGGCGATCGGATACGAGTGCCGCCTCCGCCGCCGAAGAAAGTTGAGAAGTTGAATGCGAAACAGGCGCGGAAGGGCGCTGCTGAGGCGAGGAGGAGGGGAGAGAAACTCAGAAATCTGTTCTTCCAGAGCGATGAGGTGTTGAAGTATCTGAGGGAAGACGCGTGAACTACGATGCAGGATTGAATACGGTCGAGAAGTATGGTTTGTGAGCTACTTGATTATGATACCCATTGATAGAGAGTACAGAGTGTTGATTTCATATATGAATGGTTTCCTCCAGTTGACCTGACGTAGGATCTATTGAACTATGATGCTTCGCTGAAAAATCGATTCTCCGGTCTCTCCAGGCCAAAATGTTCCCGCAGCGTCGAACCAGTGTACTCTTTGCGGAACAAGCCTCTGCGCTGCAGTTCAGGTATCAATCTGTCCGTGACTTCCTCCAGTCCCTGAGGCAAGAATGGAAACGTGCAAGTGAATCCATCGGATGCCTCTTCTTTCAACCAAATCTCCATCTCATCGGCAATATCACTCGGCGACCCCAGGAAAGCAAGCCCGGAATATCCACCATATCGCTGGGCCAGTTGTCGAACCGTCAAATTCTCTTGCTTTGCCAGTCGCTCAGCACCCTCTCTACTCGTCTTGCTTGCGTTCGTCTCGGGCAAGTCCGTTGGCAAAGGCCCATCCGGATCGAATTGACTCGCATCCACCCCGAGAACGATAGACAAGGACGCAATCGCGCTATCATAATGCACCAAACTATCCAGCTTGAGTCTCTTCTCCTGCGCCTCCTCTTTGCTATCCGCAACGAGAATCAGCGCCGCAGGCAAGATCTTCAGATTCTCCCTCTTCCGGCCCGCTCTCTCCACTCGACCCTTGATATCCTCATACAACTCCTTTGCAGACTCGATATCCTTTGGACTGCAAAAGACCACCTCTGCCGTCTCCGCAGCCAACTGTCGCCCAGGCTCGCTCTGTCCAGCCTGCACGATAACGGGCCACCCTTGAGGCGGTCTCGCAATATTCAACGGACCACGTACCTTCAACTCATCCCCCTCATGGTCCAGCACATGCATCTTCTCCGGATCAAAGTACTGCCCCGTCTCGACATTGCGCGTAAACGCATCGTCCGCAAAACTATCCCATAAACCGGTGACAACGTCGTAGAATTCACGCGCCCGCTTATACCGGTCTCCATGGGCCATGTGCTCATCGAAGCCGAAATTACGACTAGCCTCGGGGTTGCCCGTGGTAACGATATTCCACGCCGCTCGCCCACCGCTTAAATGGTCTAGACTTGCGAACCGTCGCGCAACGTGATAGGGCGCATCATACGTCGTGCTTGCCGTCCCCGCGAGACCGATCTTGTCCGTCACCGCGGCGAGTGCGGATAGTAGAGTGAATGGCTCGAAGGATGTGACCGTGTGACTGCGCTTGAGTGCTTCAACGGGCATGTTTAGGACGGCGAGGTGATCGGCCATGAAGAAGGCGTCGAATTTGGCATCTTCGAGCTTTTGGGCGAAGCCCGCGATGTGCTTGAAGTTGAAGTTGGCGTCTGGGTAGGAACCCGGGTATCGCCAGGCGCCCGTGTGTAGAGAGACTGGTCGCATAAATGCTGTGAGGTGTAGTTGGCGGTTGGGTTGGGAGTCTGCCATGATGATTTTGGTTGACTTATTTCCTATCGGTGGGCGGAGCTTAGAGCGACAAAGTAGTATCGTTGAGGATTTTCTCGTTCTTTTCTATACCAAATCTCAGACTTGCGATTTCAGAGCAAAGCTTTATACCCCGCTGCTTGTAGCTTCATGATTATCGGATTTATAATCTCATTTATAATCTCCGGCGTTGGAAGTACGACATGGCGTGCTGCAGTAGGCGGCTCACGCAAGATCACGCCAGTAATTTGTACTAAATTAATGACGAAGGGTTCCATAGCTGATCTGAATAAAGATTCTATAGATAAAACAAACTTCGGTTTTTTCTTTAGTCACGGAAGTACTCGCAAACAGCTGCACGTTACTTTTATCTCAAGCTTTATGCTTCTGGGATCTAGTCACTGGCACGACGAAACGTTAAGCGGTGCGACAAAGATGATGCCCCATTGGGTTGTACTCTGTCTCCTAATGAAATCTGAGTATAGAGAAGAGAGGAAATGCCAGGTTTATTCGCTTTAAACACAGCTTATTCGAAACCACCGCTCTAAACGTCTTTTGAACAGTCTCGCTAGACAGCCACAGAATCATTCCTCGAACTGTATTTGGGTCATGATTAACTTGAATCTTCTGAAATTTAGTCAGAACATAGTTATAATTTATTTAATCATGCCAGCTGACTTTCTTCCATGCCAGTAATCGGTTCCTATTTGTATTTCTATCACCTTTTATGTGCATCGTAAATTACAGTCTGGACGCATGCTCTCACTCCTCCAGGGGGAAACCATATCCAACCAACATGGCCGGCTCATCAATGTTATGATGTTGATAACTGTCCGAAAGTCAGAAAACTGCCATTTTCATCATTACAAGCAAATGGATCAAGGGGGAGATAAATACCTCAGAACACCAACCGCACCGGGGTCGAGCATCAAGGAAAGAGGGAATTCCATGGGATATCCAAGCCAACGCTTGGTAAAGGCACGAAGAAGATGGCCATGAGCAACGAGAACGACATCGCAATACTTCTCGCCGTGCATGTTACCCCGGTGAATGTCACGGATCTCTGCAATGAGATTATCAATGCGGTCGGTGACCTCTTGCGCGGATCTGAAACGGACATATCAGCCATGTGCCTTCCGTCGAACCAAGGAAAGACACCAATATAGACGGTAGATGGTCTATACGATATCAATGGGGAATAAGAAAGGCAACTCACTCTCCACCTTCACAGCCATCACGCCAAATATCCCACGGCTTCTCGGCATCCAAGCCATGCTCCTTCCGCAAAGCCCGAATCTCCTTGGTCAAAAGACCCTCGTACTGGCCATAATCCCACTCAGCAAGCCTCTCAGTCTCACTGATCTTCTGAGCAGCCTTCAGCGCCTCCTGATCCGCCTCGGAAAAGGCGATCTGGAAGGTCTGCATCGCGCGCTTGCGCGGGCTAATGTACACATGTGCAAGGTGAGCCGGGTCAATCAGCTTGCCGGATCCGACAATCATCTTGCCAGACGCGCGGACTTGTTTCTGGCCATCTTCAGTGAGGTCTAGCTCCGTTTTACCGGTGTATTGGCCGCTCTTAGACCAGATGGTTTGTCCTGAGGGGGTGGCTGTTAGAGAATGTGCCTGGGTGGAGCTTTCGATGATCGGGACGTACCGTGTCGGTAGAGGAAGACACGGGGAGTACCGGCGTCCTTGTCAGGCATTGTAATGAAGCGTGTCACTGTGTTGCACTTCTTGCAATTTCTTGAATAATCGCAGTTAATTGATTGGAAGGTGGGGGTGGGCGAAGGATCCAAAAGAGAAACCCCGCGGCACCAATCGCGGGCCTTCACCGGAGCACCCAACCTGTTCACGGTTGAAGGAAATCTATTCAATGCCGACCAATATGATGACTTCGTGCTTTCTACGCCCGAGAAGAGAAAATATTGGACGAGATTTGCCTTTATGTGCACAAGCTAGATCATTTGGTACATTTGTGAAACTCCATGTCTATCTGGTTGAGCTGGAAAAGTACATGATGGTGAATAATATACGTAAGCATACAAGCAGCCCCTGGTATCCTTGAAATTGAAAGAAAGAACAGCACTTTAACCCCAAGTTCCACCGCCACCACCTCTACCTTGTCGCCGCTGGGCAGAGAGACGCCAATCATCCTCGCCAGCAAACCGATTATGCAGGGGCTGGATGCGCTCGGCCTTCTTGCGCTTCGATAAGCGATCCGTGGGCGCAACCTTGAAGAAGGTCGGTGCCGCCTCAACAAGCCATTTTGGCTCAATAGAGGTCGTACAATGCATGTACTCCTTGGTGGTGAGCACCAAAGTGTGATAGATGACATGCTCGGAGGGCTTGCCGAACAGCGCGGAGCTTGGATGCATGTACACCGGTGTACCTTCCACGAGAGTCTTGTATCCTTCTTGGGGATCTTTGCGAGCCGCATTTCGGAAGAAGCCAGTGCAAAGTGCCTGTCGTACCATGGTAGTGTTTCGTCCACAGGAGACGATCTTGTGACGGTAACGATTCATAATTCCGAGAAGCTGCTGGCGTACATCTTGAGCACGGCGGATCTGCCGAGCTTGGATGAAGTTCTCAAAGCACCAGGCGTTGTTGAACTTGGAATTTTTCCAGCCATTGTAAACATTCAACAAGGTGAGGTGGTCGCCGTGGGGATCATGGAACTTGGCTTTCTTCTGATCAGCCTGTTGCTGCTTCTCCTTGGGGCGATAGAAGACCGATTGGATGGAAAGCATGGCGACAATGCTGAGAATCTCCTCGGAGCATCCCATGTCAACAGATGCGATGAGAACCTTGGCAAGAGCGGGCTCCATGGGGAAATCGGCCATCTTACGACCAAGACGAGTCAAGAGGCCTTCATCGTCCAGGGCGGACAGAGCATACAGCTCCTCAAGAGCAGTCAACATTGTATTAGTGGGTGGCGGGTCCATGAAGTCGAAATGAAGGAGGTCGTTAATGCCCATCGCTTTGAGCATGAGAATGGTATGTGAAAGATTCTGCCGTTGAATTTCAGGGATCGTGGTAGGAAGCATTTCAGACTGATATGCAGCCTCGGTATATAGTCGGAAACATTTACCGGGTCCTGTTCGGCCGGCACGACCAGCTCGTTGCTTAGCCTGTGCTTGAGAAATGGGAGTGACCACGAGAGAGTCCATGCCAAGCTTGGGATCGTATGCATTCTGCTTCACAAAACCGGGATCGATGACATAGTAAATATTATCAATCGTAATGGAAGTCTCGGCGATGTTTGTAGCGATGATAACCTTCCGGCCTCCAGGCGGGGCTGGCTCGAAGATTCGACTCTGCATCTCACTCGGAAGCGCAGAATAGACGGGAAGAATCACCAGCTCCGGCACAGTTGGCCCTAGAGCTTTCATCCGCTCGTACAGAATCTCGCATGCCGTATCGATCTCTTCCTGTCCCGTGAGGAAGACTAGAATGTCACCACCGGCTTCTGTCAAGTGGATCTGCATCACAGTGATGAGAGCAGCATCCAGGTAGTCA